AGTGGCTCCACCAAGAGCATGTCGTGGCGATTCTAAGGGGAGCAAAGACAAGTGGGGCTAGCGGGCTGCCCCACCAGCAACCACCTCGCCCACCGCCCAGCTCCGTTACGACCAGGGTCAGAGGGGTCTGGCCCCAGCTCTGCCATGGCTCACTGAGGGAGCCGCCCTCGGTGTCCCCAGGGTATGGTGAAAGGGGTGAAATTGGACAAGCCCTGAGTGCTCACTTAAGGGCCCACAGCATTGCCCAGCCTCTTTTGCCCATTATCACTAATAACTCACTCCCAAGAGCCTGCGTCCTTATTATTCCCATAATAATGGGAAGAGGCTGGCTCAAGCAGAGCCCAGCTGGGCTGAAGGAGGCAGGAAGGAGCTTCTGCATCCCGCGCTGAGTCCAGCAGGGGCGGCCCACGTGGGGCCCGGCATGGCCCAGCAGACCAAGTCCCTCCCTTCCCCATCTCTGCTCCTGTAAATGCAGCCTCTGGGGTGCAAGCCATGGTGCAGCCCCCAAATCTGCCTTGGGAGCTTGGAGAGTCACCTTAGAAAGAGGGCACGAGTAAGAGATAGCTTTCAAAGCAGTCGTAGCAGGATGGAGAATTCAACAAGGGATGTTAAGACCTTCATTTAGGACCAACATAGTTTAAATATAATGCCTGTCTCATGTCTATACAAAAGTCAATTCTAGATCAACTAAAGTTCCAAACATAAAATGACTAGGAAGGAGCTAAAGGAAGATCTAGAAGGATAGGCTGTGATCCTAATATGGGAAGGCCCTCCTACGAAAAACTCAAGTTGGGCCGGCGCTATGGTGCCGTGGGTTAAGCTGCCACTTGCAGTGCTGGCATCCCATATGGGCACAGCTGCCCCACTTTGTACCCAGCTCCCTGCTAATGCACCTGGGGAAGCAGTGGAGGATGGCTGATGTGCTTGGGCCCCTGCCGAGTCATGGGAGACCCGGATGAAGCTTCTAGCACCTCACTTCAGCCTGGACCAGCTCTGGTTGTTGTGGCCATCTGGAGAATGAACCTGCAGATGGGAAATCTCTGTGTGCCTCTCTGACTCTATCTGTGTGTGTGTGTGTGTGTGTGTAATTCTATCAAATAAATACATCTTTGAAAAATAAATAAAGAAGAGGGTTGCTGTTCCTAGATCCTGTGCTTCTGACATGATTTTGTTTTAAAAGGACAATGATCATCTTAAAACATTCAGTGCGGATAAATGGGTATATGGGACCCTGGGCTTTCACTGATGAGAGGTGGAGCCTGACCAAGGGCGGGGCTAGGTCTGGGGTATGCGGGACCTGAAGCCCTCCCCGGCTGTGTCACTCACAGGGGTCTCACTGCTGCTGTAGGCGATCACCTCCAGCACGGAGTTCCTCTCGCAGGTGTCGATGCAGGACAGGTCGTAGAGCGAGGAGTGCACAGGCCCGTAGGCCCACTCGGTGAACTTCCGGGACAGGTGCCGGCACTCGGGCTCCAGGATCTCCCGCTGCAGAATGTAGGCCAGCACCTGCCTCGGGGCACAGCAGCCGGTCAGAGGCCAGCCAGGGGCCCGGCCACAGGGCTGCTCAGAGAGAGACCCTGGACAAGCCCCAGGAGAGCCCATGCCTGAGATCTACCTGCCACCAGGCCCCCACCGCCTCTCACAGTGCCTTCACTGTGGCCCATTCTGGAAAAACCTCAAGTTAGAAAGAAATAAAAAAAAGACACAAGGAATGACACTAAACTCATAAAGCCAGGTTCCTATGTCCAAAGGCCAGGGGCACCTACAAACAGGGACAGCTCCCAGAATCCCCTGGGACTGAGAAACCCCACCCACCTACCCAATGCCCAGCAACCCTCCACCCCTCCACTGGCCTTCTGCAGCCTGGCATCAGCCACAGGCTCCTGGTTTGGCTTAGGGGTGCCAAACTATCACCCCAGGACTCGTCAGGGAGAAACACCAAGCTCTCTCTTTCATCCCAGACTCAACCCAGTACCCACCCCACCCCTCCGTGTTAGTGACATCAGAGGTGGAAATCAGAAGTGGCCACCTCCTGCAGGCTGGGTGCTGCTGGGTTTCTCTGAGTCGTGTAACAGCCCCACAGGCTGCGGGGGCCAGAGCCAGAGCACCGCATGCACAGTGGTGGCAAGGCCAGGCACCCACAGGGAGCAGGCCGCCCTCTCCCCTGACACCCACACAGAGTGGTCCCGCCAGCTCCCCTACCCCAATCTTCCCACTGCCGGCAGCCAGGGCCAGCGGCGTCAGCCCTTTCTTATTGATGAGCTCCTCCAGCTTCAGCGTGGGGTGGAGTTTGGCCCCCAGGATCAGGATCTCGTTGTACATGCTCGTCACGAACTTGGTGTTGTCGGGGGTGTTGTCGGCCACCTCCACCAGGGCGTGCAGCACCGTGTTGCCCACCGAGTCCCTGGCGCTGATGTCCGCCGGCTGCCAGGAGTTCTGCAGCAGGAACTTCACGATGGCCAGCTGGTTGGTGCACGCAGCCAGGGACAGGGGCAGCTCACCTGCAGCCAACACAGGGCCCGCGGCGGCCTCAGGAACAGGACGGGCTGGTCTCTATACCACCAGGCTGCCGGCTCCCACCGCCTCTGCCCCAGCCTCCCCTTGACAAAGGTCGAAAAGCCAAGTGTCTGCCCATTGGTCTTCCCTACCAAAGTAGAAGCCAGGCCGCCCCTTGGTTTTCTTAAAGAAGTCCCCGTTGGCCGCAGCCTGGACATCCGCTCCGTTCTCCACCAGGAGGGTCACCAGCGCCATGTTCCGCCTCTCGATGGCAATGTGCAGAGCTGTCTGGCCTGCGGAGGATTCATATTGTGGGCTTTGTGACCACAGTGCCCAGACAGGGGCCTGGGCAGGCAGGAGCGGCTGGACAGAAAATGCCCAGATGACCCCACTGCAGGGGACTTGACCAAGGTCCTCATATAGAGCCCAAGAGAGGTCCTGAGGCAGGAGTAGAGAGACCGCTGCGAATGGGAGACACCAGATTGGAAGCCACCCGGGGTAAGGAACAGTAGAAGAGAGAGAGAGACCAGAGGCACGGGGACCACTAACTCCGCAGGGGCCTCTCGGGACCGAGGAAGGAGACTGCAGATGCAAAAGGCAGGCACCCTCAGAACCAACACCGCAGCTGGGACGGAGAGGGAGGGGCTGGGAGGAGTGAGGAGGCCCAGGCCTCTGTGTCCTCGGGGTCCAGGCGTGCTTGCTGGAGAGAGCCCCTCACCCTTGTAGTAACTGTCGGTATAGCTGGCGTTGACGAACTCCTTCAGGCTGTCCGTCTGCCGCGCGATCTCCAGGAGCAGCGGGATGGTGTCGTTTTGCCCGCTGTGCAGGTTGAGCATGGCTTTGAGCAGACAGGTCTTCCCTGTCTCAGGGTCTGAAAGACAGAGAGGGGTGAGAGCCGGCCGGGCAGGCGGGCAGGGCATCCCCTCTCCCCCCCGCAGCGCCGCCAGGGCTCTGGGCGGCCACCTTTGAACTCGCTGTCCGTCAGGCGCTTCTTGCTCCTCTGTAGGAAGCACAGCAGGCTCTCTAGCTCCTGGCAGTTGTTCTGGGCCACGGCCTCGAAGATCCGCCGGCGATCGTAGAGTTTCAGGGGCTTCTCGGCGCCGGCGGCTGCCACGGAGTCCTGCGACAGCTGCCTGGGGACCCCGTCACACCCTCGTCACACACCCTGAGGCCGTCAGAGCTTGTCAAGGGGTTGTGTGTAAACCCCACGGCACACCCAAAGGGGAAAGCATCCGACACAAAAGCCAGCCCTCGGCCTGGGTGACCACCTAGGAAACCAGTGTCACGGGGGACGGTGGGGTGCACGTGTCCCCGCTCTGTCCCACCCTACCTGGAGTTTTCACCTGCTGGGAGCTGGGACCCAGGAGGCTGTAGCCTGGACGTGGCAGGAAGCAGGGGCTTGGCTGACCCCTGCTAAGTGAAAATGCCTCCCACACTGGCCTGGCAGCCAGCCAGCCATCGTGCCCTCCCTGGCCTTGAACTTGCAGATGTGAAGTCCATGTGTCAGGGGCTGGTGAGCATTCCAGACCTGGCCACCTGGTGGTCAACTGGCAGCTAGGATCAGCATATACACCCACACTGGCCACCCACAGGGCCTCAGGGGTGCAGATCCCAGATCAGACCACCTCTGAAGGCTCCCCAGCTCCCCGGTTCCATGGCCTTTAGCCCAGAAGCCAGACTACCCTAGGGTCTCTCCTCGGCTGGGACTGCCACCAGCAGAGCCAGTGGGCTCCTGGCAGGGAGAGGGGCTCCAGATGCAGACTTACCTGGCACAGGTGGGGCCATCCCCAGACCTCTGGACAATGATCACAGAGCTGACCGTAATGGCCGGGCAGGGGGCCAGTTCGCCTTCCTCATAAGAGCAATCCATGGGGGACGTCTCCTCTGAGTCGCCTTTCCCAAAGAGCCGGCTGCGGCTCTTGGCCGTGGAGAAGATGTGGGGCTTGGCTGGAGGTGGCTTGGCGTTGGAATCTCCATCCAGGAGGTCTGGGCAGGTGTCTTCTGGAAGCGGGTCCTCAGATTCCCCCGAGTCCAAGCTCACCCATCTCTTCATCCTTGCTGCGTCCCCAGGGGTCCAGAATGCAGCCTGTGGACAGCACCAAGGCAGGGGTTTGTTCCCAGCTCCAGGAACTTCCTGACCTGCGCCTGTGTCCTTGCCAGGGCCCCTGGGAAGCAGGACATCCCGAGGGTCTAACCAGCTGCCACCCAAGCCCCCGAGACCTGAAGCTTTCAGGACCGTCCCTCTCACCCCAGGGACCCCAGAGGTGAGCAGAGCCACAGTGCATGGGCGGCCCTGCAGACACTGACATCAGCCTGCAGGGGTCCAGGCAGATGAGACCCTAGCCCATAGACAGCAGAGACGGGAGGTCTTGGGCTAGATGGACTCCTCGTCTTCTCTGGGCTCAGTCACCCCAACAGCGGAGTGAGGATTGGCGCCACTGCCTCCCTTCTGGGATCAGAAGAAGGGAAATAATAGGAATGGCCGTTGCGGGCTGTGTCCAGGGAAGAGCGCGGTGATGAGGATGACTCAGCCCCAAAGAGCCGAGTGCGCTGTGTCCCCAGGACAGGGCGGCACCCACTCTGCACCGTGCAGTCCTCCCGCGCCAGGTGTCCGTCCACCTGCCACCAGCCTCAGGTACAGCTGCCTCTGCTCTTCATCCTGACAGTGGGACGGGATGTGTGTGTGTGCGTGTGTGTGTGTGTGTGTGTGTGTTGTCATTTTCGGGAAGTTAGCAGATTTCAAGCACCCTGGATTTGCACTTTTGGGCATTAAGTGACATGGGGCTATTGGGCCTGAACACCTAGAGCTGAGTGGGCTGCTGCCCCACCCCACCCCCAGTCTCACTCCAAACTCTCTGGCACCCGGGGCTTCCCACACATCCATCCAGGGGCCTTTGCTCCCATGGTGCCTCTGCCTGGGCGCTTTATCCTTCTTCTCTCCCTGCCTGATCCCTACCATGTCCCAGATGCCCTCTCCTTTCAGGATCCAGTCCTGATGCCACCCCCTCCTCAAAGCCCTCCAATCCCTGCGCTGGTCATGCCCCCTCCCTGCTCATTGTCCATCCACCTCTTGGAGCCCTCTCAACACAGTCTACTGTGTGGTCTAGCAATTTCTGTCATATTTTTAAATTTCTCATTCATTTTTATTTGAAAAGCAGAGAGACAGATGGATCTCCCTTTTGCTGGTTCACTCCCCAGATGCTCACAAGAGTAGGATCCTGAACTCCATCAGGGTCTCCTACATGAATGACAGGGACCCAAGTATCCAGGTGCAGGTGTTAACAGGAAGCTGGGATCAGAAGAGAAGTTGGGATTTGAACCCGGGCACGCTGATGTGGGACACGGGCATCCCAAGAGGCGTCTTAACTGCTGCACCCAATGCCCACCCGGATCTAACAATTTCTAAGAGTTGCTGCTTTATCTGCCACGTGCCCTGTGGCCTCTTCCTGGGCAGGGAGAGCTGTGCAGGTCACGGCGTGAGAAATGAGAGTCGTTGCACACAGACCCCTCTCGTACTTGTGTCTGTGGGAAACTGGGGGGTTAAGTTTCCGGCAGGAGCCGGCTCTGGAAAACAGCCACAGAAGGCGTGGGCAGCTTCTCCAGTCCCGCATTTTCAAGTGAAAGTTTAGGCCGTGAAAGCCCAGGGCACATGGTGGGGTCACAGCAGGGAACCAGCCTCGGCCTGGTGCCCAGACCTGCAAGGAAACAAACTCCACCCCTCCGGTGGCAGCACTGACAGCCGACTGCCAGGCCTCCTGTTGACCCGTTCTCGCTCTCACAGAGGCGAGGGTCTTTCTCTGATTCACCTGCCAGGTGGGCACCCTATAGCAGGAAGCGTCCCCTCGCCCGGGGAGCCCCACTTGCAACCACTCACCCACTTCTTTAACCCATCGTTAACATGGTTGGTCAGCTGAGTCCTCCTGGGAGCCCAGCCCCGTGCGGGGGGCAGTCAGCTCCCATCTGCAGCAGAAATCAGGCGCTGGCCAACGTGGGGCCCCAGGAGGGGTCAGAGAGCTGAGGAGGTTTCAAGGGGGAAGGGGAGTGACAGATGAGCTGGTCTAGGGCTAGGGGACGAGGGAGGTAGGCAGGATTCCCAGAGCGGCTGCTGAGTGGTCAGGCCGGTGAGACTGGAGGGGAAAGGGCCTTGATGGCCCAGGAACAGAGATATGGAGGTGATTACACAGACAGGAAGAAGCCATGAGCAGCTTCAGAGACATGGGGACAGGGGCCAGTCTGTGCTTTTGGAAGATGACTTCCTGCTGAGGACTGGTCAGTGTAGGGAACCCGCTGTCACTCAGAAGGCACGGAAGCTCCGGAAGGCAGAAGTAACAGATGTGTGTGAGCAAATGCACGGTGCAGAATGACACTGTTCCACACACTCACGCACGTTCACTCGACCCTCACGGCATCTCCCAGAGGAAAACATTGCACAGGCCCAGAGAGGTTGTGCTACTTGCCTGAGGTCACACAGTTAGCAAGAGGAGGAACCTGGATTTGATCCCAGACAGCCTGGAGCCAGAGCAACTCCACCATTTCTCTGGGAGGCTCAGGGCTCCGTCTTAGCCATTAAACTGAGCCCCAGACCCCACACCAGGGTCTGGCTGCCAATGAGACCAAGCACCCCCAACCCTAGGGCTGAGGCACAAGCCCCACACTTGAAGTATCCTCCTGCTCCAACAAACCTTGCAGGAGGTGCACACCCAAGAAGCAAAATAGAAATGAGATGCAGGCCCCACCTGGCTCTCCCAGGAACATCTGTGGGCCCCCCTCTCATGATTCTGCATGCAAAACCAAGGATTAACCAATCCCTGATGAGCAACGCTGAGCCCAACAGGACAGTGCCCATTAGCAGGAGCCCCTGGGACCTTCCAGTGGGGTTCTTTGCTTAGGGGCTTTGCCTCCTCCTCTGACCGGTCCCAACACAACCAAATCCAGTAGACAAGAAGCAGCCCACACACAGTGGGCTGTCCGTACACCAACGGGCCCTGGCTCCACACTGCATGCTGGAAACCAAGCTACTCTTGGGGCAGGGGTGGTCCAGGGACTGAGAGGCCATTTGCTCTGGGCTAGGAGGAGGAACAGGGACAAGATGACTGTCATGGCCTGGCCACGAGCCTCACAGCAATGCACCTGTCACCGCAGAACATTGGATAGTGATGGGGAGACTTCCAGCCATGATTTAGGCCGACACTGATGGAGGTGGCGGTTCTAGTTTACCCCAGGCTCAAGGGTATGGGGTAAACAGCCATTCCCACTGCAACCTTCCCTAACTGCAGAGTCAGAGAGGACACCACCCACCCTCTGGAAGAAGGCTCCCTGTGCTCTCCCCAATCCAGGTAAGACCTCCTGGGCAGCATGCTTCTCCCACTCCCACTCTGCCCCAATCACCACCCCCTGCAGGCTTGGGGTGCCTCCCTGCCCCTCGTGACTGTGAGAGGCCACTGCCAGCCCTGCTCACCCTCATCCCTCCTCCAGGCTGAACATCTCCACGGGACAGACAGGGTGGACACAGTGCCAGAGGGAGGGGAGCCAGGACCAGAACGCAGAGCTCTGCCACCCAGCCCCGCACCATGCCACCCCGCAGAGCAGGCGATGCACTGGAAAGCACCAGCCTGGGCAGCAGCTGCAGCCCCTGCACCCGGGAGGGCTCCCGTGCAGCAGCCAGGCTAATCGGCTCTGGCAGCAGGAACCGCCGTGCTCACTCACCGGGCCTCACCACTCGCCAGGCTTCGTGCATCCCGCAGCCGCTGTCATGATCCCCAGTTTACAGGTGCAGTCACTGAGGCTAGCTCGCCCGCCCGCAGTCACACGGCTGGAAGGTGGTGGGAGCCAGCTACCAAGCCATCCTAGCGGTGACCGTCTGCTTTGGCCACCGAGAATCAAAAGGGACTCACCAGCGAGGCACAGGCACGCCCCAGACTGGTGGGTGCTGGTGAGCGTGGAGGCGGGTACTACTTAAAGGGAGGGTTGGGCCGGCGCGGGAGAAGCGTGGCCTCCCTGCCTCCTCGAGGGTCCCGGGCCCCTCCCCGGACCATGGCCGTGGCGCTGGCAGGGGTGGGCTGTGGGAGCCGCTGGCCCTGAGCAAACATTTCCAGCAATGGCAGCAGCTGCCGTTGCGGCGGCCGTGATTCCCAGAGGATCTCAAAGCTTTTCCCATCGTTTTTGCCCTTTTTCAGAAACCACTTAGCCGCTGCCCCTCCTCCAGCCATGCCAGGGTCGTGCTGCACTCAGCCACAAACGGCCCAGGATCAACCTCAGCTCCCAGGGAGGGAGGGCACCGCTCGGCCTCCGAAACCCACCACTCCCACGGCTGCACAAATGCACCTCCCCAGCCAGAGGTGTCAACCCCAGGGTGCTGGAGCCACTCTGTACCCCAGGGGGAAAGGGAACAGGAAGGCCGTGGCACCCACGGCACTGGCCTGACCTGGTGTTTAGGGACCTGTGCAACCTGGAACCAGCCCCTCCCCAGCCCCCTTTGGAAACTCTAGTTCCTTTGATGTCAAACCTGGGACAGTGACCCGCCAGAGTGTGGGGGTGGAGGTGTCCCTCTGGGTCTACCTTTTTCAACTGGGATTCCTCAGTGAACCCAGAACCCAGGAAATTATGAGTGTCCATTTTCTCACTTTGCCTGGTTCTATCCTAACTGTGCAGGAGAGAAGGGCAGACAGAGGACAAAGGGAACGAGAGGGCTTGCTGCTCTCCCGGAACCCGGCTGCGAGAAGCTCGAAGTCTTTCCGGGGGTGCACCTGGGCTGCAGGCCCCCGTGCCCTGCAGCAACCAGCCTGGCGGCTGCCAGTGAGAACTCAAAAACACTCCAGGAAGTCACAGGTCAGACACAGCCTGAAACAAACCGCCACGCGCCAGGAAGGCCCATGGTGGCCCTGCCTGGAGCAGCTCCAAGCTCTGAGCCCAGAGCCACAGTGTACAAATGGGGACATGCATGTCGGTCACACAGAGCTTCCCCCACCCTGCACTCCAGCCCACGCCACAACCCTGGAAGGAGAGCAGAGACAGCCACACCCATTCTACAGGTGAGGAGCTGTGACACTAAGCAATTGGACAGTGGCCCCCATCACTCTGCTGGTCTGGGTGTGAAAGCCAGGCCGGTCCCCCATGCCACACCACCCCACCTGCTCAGACACCTTCTTATGTTACATAGGCTATGTTACCTTACTGGGATACAACAAAATTACAGGATGGACCGTATTGAGGGTGCAGCTCAGTGGCACTGAGCACTTCACATTCCTGTACAACCATCATCACCTCCATCTCTAGAGCTTTCTCATCTCCCCAGACTGAAACTCCGTGTCCACTTGACAGCTGCCTGCCCCCGCCCTGCAGCCCCTGAAAACACCACTATACTCTGTCCCCATGAATTTCACTATTTTAAAAAACATTTATTTTATTTATTTGAAAGGCAGAGTTTCAGAGATGGAGAGGAAGAGAGAGAGAGAGAGAGAGAGAGAGAGAGAGAGAGAGAGAGAATCTTCCATCTTCTGGTTCACTCCCCAAATGGCTACAACAGCTGTGGCTGGACCAGGTGGAAGCCAGGAGCCTGGAACTCCACCCAGGTCTCCCACCTGGGTGGCAGGGGCTCAAGCACTTGGGCCATCCTCCACTGCTTTTCCCAGGCACAACAGCAGGGAGCTGGATCTGAAGTGGAGCAGCCGGGACTGATATGGGATGCCGGCATTGCAGGCAGCAGCTTAACCTCTGTGTCACAGCACCAGCTCAGTGAATTTAACTACTTTGGGAACCTCCTAGAAGTGGAATCCTACAATCCTTGTCCTTTGGGGACTGTCTTCCTCCACTTGCAGGTGGCCTCAAGGTTCACCCGTGTGGTAGCAGGTGTTAGAAGTCCCTTCCCAGGGAAGCCTGGACAGCATTCCTCTACATGGATATATGACCACGTTTTGTTTGTCCACTCGTGGGTCAGTGGGCACTTCCACCTTTCACTATTGTGAATAGCACTCCATGAGCACGGGTGTGCAGCATCTGTTCCGTCCCTCCTTTAACTCTTACGGGCGCATGCCGTGATGTGACATCTTCTACAGAAAGGACACACTAGCAGTGACTTCCCCGACTCCCAAGTCCTGGGAGGTCATTTTCCTTCTAACTATGTGGGTGTGAGCATGGCCCCCAAACCATCCCCTTCACCTCCGAGGTGACTTCTGCCTCCAAAGAAGCCAGCACACATCCCTAAGCTTGCCTCCTTAGGTATAACAGGGTCCCTCCAGTCTACAGGGCGCCACATGGGCTCCGAGGCCTACAGGAGAGAGGTTGCCTCTCCTCACCAGGCCCTTCCCCCACAGACCTGGACCCGGACTTCTCCTTCATCTGCCTCCACCCAAACCATCCCCCGTCCATGTTTCATTTCCGAATTGGTAAAAAAGAGACAAAACCATGCTAAGCTCATGAATTTTGTGAAAGTCCAATGAGAGCATGCATGCAAAGGGCTTTCCAAGCCAGCGACTTCTTCACCCAGGGGCCTGGCCCAGTCCTCTCCCTGAGCCCATTCCTGGTTCCTCCCATCTGCAGGGGAAGACCACAATCCCTTCCCAAGCACAGCCCAAGAGGGACCTCTCCCCTCCACAATCAGCTTGCCCAGAGCACCCCCTGCCTGCACAGGCATCGACTTCCTTCCGGTCACCAAGTCCTGACCTGCGCAAGGACGGTGACTTCTCCACTAGTCGTGTCCTGAGCTTTCCACATCTTATGTTGGAACGTAACTTCCTTGATTTCTGTGTCTTGCTTTCAGATGCTTTTTAATGATTTATTTATTTGTTTGAAAGGCAGAGAGATCTTCCATCTGCTGCTTCACTCTCTAAGTGGCCTCAACAGCCAGGGGCTGAGCCAGGCTGAAGCCAGGAGCCAGGAGCTTCTTCCAGGTCTCCCACATGGGTCCAGGAGCCCAAGGATTCAGGCCACCTTCTGCTGCTTTCCCAAGCCATTATCAGGGCGCTGGATTGGAAGTGGAACACCCAGGACACAAAGTGGCACCCATGTGGGAAGCCAGCATCACATCATCATTACCCACTGAGCCACAACGCCAGCCCCACGCTTTCAGATTTCAAGTGGCTTCAGAAGTTTCAGGCCCAATGGCAAAAATACACCCGGAAGGAAACTACCTTCCCTTCTGCACTTGGCCCTTGCATTACGGTTACCAGGTGCCCCCATTCGTCTGAAAGACCAGTCCCCCGGGAAGGCAGGGGTCTATGCAGGGGCCAGCATCTTCTGGAGGTGGAAGGAGCTGACAACCCAGGCTGAGGGGGGTTCTGGTGCAGATGCAGCTGATCCCTGCCTCGCAGACCTGTGTCCTAGGGCAGGCACTGGGAACGAGAAGCAGAAAGGCAGCTGGAGGGCCCACGTGTGGGCAGACAATGGCTCTGGGATCTGAGGGGAGCAGCTGTTGCAGACGCCAGCTGTATGAACTCAAGCTGCTTGCTAGCAGAGCCTCTGAGGCTGCTTCTCCATCCACAAAACCGGCAAGGGCACCTGCCCTGCCTGCTTCCCGGGGCTTTGCCAGGGATTAATCAGGACACTGGGTGTGAATAGGCCCTGAGAGCCGTCCATGCTCTAGGCAGCCAAGAGGGATTACTATTCTCAGAACCACATCTGCTAGCTATAGAGCAGTATCCGGCCATTAGCTTGAGGCTGTCACTAATTGTTTTTTAATGAAAAAAAAAAAAAGATTTGCTTAATGTTTCATGAATCATGCAAACGAGCTTCCCTGTACTGAGACCATCTCTCTGCCAAGGACTTGGCCTGTGCATCTCATCACGGCTGGGAGAAGGGGTCAGGTAGGACCCTCTGTCCTAGGGACGCACCCAACCCTGGAGCAGGCACTAGGGTGAAGATGGTCTCTGTCCTCCAGGTGCCTGTGATGGACTCAGGAGGACGATGCCTGAGCAGGCAGGGCGGGGCACCTGTAACAGGCGTGAGCCACAGGCTCTGGGGCTAACAGTGAGCACGGAATGGGGCCCTAGACCCCAGGTGCAGCTGCACTACAGCAGCAGTGAGGCCATCGAGGCGTCTGCAGCCGGCAGATGGCATGTGGGCCGGGACTTGGGACAAGATGTAGGATTCTGCCCTGCCAGAACACTCCAAACGTGGCCCCGATCAGTGGTCGGGGCAGAGAACCCCTACCAGGGACCCTTCCCTCAAGGAGTTTTCAGGCCACTTGAGAAGACAAGAAAAACAGAGAAAGTGAAAGTCACATAAACACTGGATGTCGCCGAGGACCCAAGGCGAGGGGAGTGTGCAGGGAGAAGGGGAGCAAGCCGAGCAGGCTGCAGGTCACTGCTCTCTCTCTCTGCTGGGTCTGGCTGCCACCTCTCTCCGGCTACTTTGTAGACTTCTCTTTCAGGCTCCTGCCTCTATAGTGCCATCCACTCCGTCACTTATGCTCCTAAATCTCAAACAGAGTGGCCTCCGGGTTTTGAATTCTGGCACTGTAAGCTTAGGTTAGTCACTTAATTTCTTTGTGTGTCGGTTTCTCCATCTGTGAAATGGGAATCCCAATGCCACCTTCTAGGATTCTTCTAAAGAGCACTTGAGTTACAAATAAGTGGAGTTTGGATCACACAGCAGACTCGATTGAGGAGCAGGCTGGTCTCAAATGCTTACTGATGCTTCCAGGGAGTTCAGCAACAGCCGTGAGGGGCTTGTGACTTCAGACTGGAGAAATGAGACCCTGGCAGCCATGCTCTGCCTCACTCCACATCCCACAGAGGCCACGTGCAAGCCCCAACGCTGCGAGGCTCAGCACTCAGGGGTAGAGCAGACACACGGATTGGAAAGGGGACAGAGAGTTCCAGGGTCACAGCAGGCACAGGGCTGGGCTGCACTCTAGGACATCCGTCCAGTTCCTAAGCCGTGCCTGTAAGCCAGCTGCCTCCCTGAGGTCAGAAGACGCAGTCCCTCTCACCAGAGGGGGCTGTTATCTTTCAGCTTTCCTTCTCCCTCGCAAGGCATCCCTCAGGGCTCCAACACGATGGCATCTTGACTCATTCTGGCTGGGAGAAATGTGATCTGATGTTCTCAGAGACCTGCTGATGTTTGTCCTGGTAGAACACGTGGGCAAAGCCTTCCTACAAGATAAAGAATCCCCCAGGTCAACCACCCAATCAAGCTCTATAGCTGTGTGTGACTGAGTCTCCTCCAACAGGACACATGTTTTCTTAAAGGCACATGACTCTGGAGGAATGAGCTTTATTTACTATCTGGAGTTCAATCAGCACAGCCAGGCAAACCAACCTAAGGGCATCGGACAATCACACAACCTGTCTGTCACGTGATGTTTACAAAGAGACAACGTGACTACCTCCTGAGCTGTTACCCAAGGCGGGCCTCAGGGTCGGAAGTGACTGGGCCTGAGACCCTTTGGGCGTATGGGAGCTGGTGCAGCAATGGCAGTCCTCTCCTGGAAGCCATGCGTGGCCATTCCTACCAACCACAGGAGGGTGTGAGACACTCTGGCATCCCTACAAGGATGCCCACTCCAGTGGGATGTTTCTCCTGAGTCGGAAACACACAGCGGGCCAGCAAGGCCCACACCAAGTGAAAGAAGAGCTGGGGCTTTATTCGATGGGGCTAATCCATGACAGGACTCTGCCTGGCTGCACCTCTTCCCAAGACGACTTCTGGGGGTGTGTGAGGGCAAAAACACAGATACACAGACACAGGCCTAGAAAAGGGACCTGTGGGGGCCTTGTCAGACTCTTGGGGACAGCGTGTTAGAATAGTGCTGGCCACACATCCCCCTTGCTGGTCCTGCCATCGACTTTGCTTCCTATGATTGCCTATGAGCCTGCTGTGTTGAGAGGAACTAGAGCAGACTCAGCGTAGCGGGCTTTTCCCAGTCAATGGCACAATCCAGTGAGGACGGACATTTCCAACAGGGTATGTGCCCCAGTCTCAGCTTCATGTCTCAGAAATCAATCACCCAAAAGCTGAACACGGGGGAGGTCCTCTTTGATTGCTTAGGTCACCACACTATCTGCTGTCTAAGTCCACAGTTATTCTTTCTGTCTACAGGCGAATCACAGATGAGCCTCCCAACCAGGAGTCTTAGCTGCTGTTCTCGCTTCCTTTTTCCACAGTGACATTCACAACCAGCTTCCAGTGAGTCTCTTCCGGAAGGCACTGGCTTGGGATCTGGTTGGTGACCCCTAGCTGATTAAGGATGTCCAGAGGGTAAGTTCTTGGTCAAGATGGTGCCCCATGAACACACAAGGGGTCTTCATAAAGTTCATGAACTATAAATTTGGGGGTGGGGGGGAATATGCATGGATTTCAAAAACTTTTGCACCAGAATAAAAGTATCTTTTAATTCCAGTTTTTCTTGAACTTGATAAAGAACCCTCGTGACTTCAAAGTTCCCCCCAGAGAACTGCCCCGAGGGAAAGACAGTCCAGAGTCTGTGTCAGGAATGCCAAGCAGGTGAAACTCGCAGCAGTCCTGTAGGCAAGGAGCTTGCTGCCTAGGGCTCCTTCTGCTTCATGGGTCTCCGGAGCAGGACCAGAGCTGCCCCGACAGCTGCGTCCACGTCCTGCCCGAAGGACACGGGCAACGGGAAAGCCCTCTGCACCTCCTGCTTCAGCACCTCGTTCCTGGACAGCGCACTCCCGCTGCCCATCACCCGCTGCACGCCCCACTCTGCGAGCTGCTGAAAGGGAAGCATGGAGAGCAGGTTCTGAACAATGCCTCGGCACAGGGCCCGGGTCACGTGCCCCAGGGAGAGGTCGGAGGAGGAGATTCTGGTCACAGAGGCCAGCTGGTCTGGTAGGTGCCTCTCTCCCAACACTGTTGGGGTGATGGTTAGGCAGGTGTCTCTCTGCTGTGCAGCTGCCTCGATCATGCGTGAATACACAGTGGATTCTTCGACCTCCAGGCCTGCCGGAAACAGAGAAGATCGGTGTGAGCTCCTGCGGCCGCTCCCTTCAGGCTGAGACAGCACTGAACTCCCACAGGGCAGGCATGGGTCTACGTGCTGCTCCTCCTCACCCTGCGACTGGAGGCTTCCAGGCTGAGAGACTCGCACAGTCTTGCTAGCTAGACTCTGCCCTGTGTCCCAGCCAGACTTCAGGGAGAGATCTCCCAAGTGTTGCTGGGAACCCTAACCCTAACCCAGCCTTCCTCAGGGTCACACAGCTGTGGAACCCTTGTTCCCAAGGGGGACAAATGCAAACACTGACGAATCATCAAGGCTGCTCTTAAAGCCATCAGCAGCACTGCAGGAGCCCCATGGTTCCAGGCTGAACACAGTCTAGGCCGCCTTCGTGACACACACAGGGCACCTGAGCCCAGGGGGACGTGATGGGTTTAGGATCCAGCTGTTTGTTGGTGCAGGCTAGAGTCCCCGTAGGCTTTTCCTGGTCCATGCTATGTTAGCTCCGCGTTCCAAAGAATCAAACCAAATCAAAGAAGCCTTTGTTTCCAATACACTTCAACCTGAGAATCAGGGGAGAAAAATTATCAAGCCTGGGGTCTCCCGCTGGTGCGCACACCAGGACTGCCTGAGCAGCTGGCCCCATGCCCCGACATTCTGACTGCACTGTTCTGGGCTGAGTCTGAGGGCTGGGATTTCTTTTTCCAATTCTATTTATTTATTTGTGTTTATTTGAAAGGCAGAGTGGTAGAGTTAAAGAGAGATCTTCCGTCCACTGGTTCACCCCTCAAATGCCCGCAAGAGCCAAAGCTGAGCCAGGTTGAAGCCAGGAGCTCCACCCAGGTCTTTCACATGGGTGACAGGGACCCAAGTACTTGAGCCATCACCTGCTGCCTCCCAGGTGCATTTGCAGGGGCCTGGATCAGAAGATCAGGAGCTGGGATTGGAACCCAGACACTCTGATGTGGGAGGTAAGAATCCCAAGTATCGGCCGGTGCCGCGGCTCAATAGGCTAATCCTCCGCCTTGCAGCGCCGGCACACCGGGTTCTAGTCCCGGTCGGGGCACCGGATTCTGTCCTGGTTGCCCCTCTTCCAGGCCAGCTCTCTGCTGTGGCCAGGGAGTGCTGTGGAGGATGGCCCAAGTACTTGGGCCCTGCACCCCATGGGAGACCAGGAGAAGTACCTGGCTCCTGCCATCGGATCAGCGCGGTGCGCCGGCCACAGCGCGCCGACTGCAGCGGCCATTGGAGGGTGAACCAACGGCAAAAGGAAGACCTTTCTCTCTGTCTCCCTCTCTCTCACTGTCCACTCTGCCTGTCAAAAAATAAAAATAAAAAAGAATCCCAAGTATCATGTTAAATGCTGCACCATGCCTGCCCAGAGCGCTGCAGTTTCTAAACGCCTCCTTGGTGATGTGATTGTGCAGTGAGGCCTGCCCAGACCTGGCAGGCTTCTCAAACTTGACTGTGGGGACAAATTACTTAGGGATCACAAAGCAGCTTCCACACATCTGCCTGGGGCAGGCCCTGAGACTCAGAGGTGTTAAATGTTCCCAAAGGAAGCCAGTGCTGCTGGCCGCTGGACCACTCGCTGAGAACATTCTAGGGTAATGAGAACCACATAAGGGCTTTTTATAACAGGCCCCACCCTACCACTTGGTCAAATGGATAGCATTTCTGAGCATGGGCAGAGGGCAGCAGAGGAGGCTGTTAGGATGCTCCATGGTCAAGGCCGGGGGAAAGATGTCCCCTGCTCACCCAGAAAAGGGTAGGTGATGACAGCCCAGAGGACGAGAGGAAAAGAGACTGCAAGCTCAGGCTCCTAAGAAGGGAAGGAGCATGCTAGGACCTGGAGCGGTCTGAGATCCAACTCTAGACACTAAGCTCCAAGACACTGCTAGGGACAGAACAAGCAGAGACTGCCACAGTGCGGGCCACAGCTTACCAAGATCTGCCATCCACTGAACCAGCATGTGCACGAACGTGGCCAGAACATTGCCCCCATTGAGGGACGCAGCCACCCCCAGGTAGGTGCTGTGGAAGTAGGGGAAGTAGGCAACTGGGGCCGAGGGGTCCGCAGTCTGCGCCGGCTGGAATCCTGGAGGCATGGACGCGGCCAGCTGAACCGAGGTGCTGATGTTGAGAACTGGGGTACAAAGAGAGCAGGGCTGAGGCCTGTCTGGCTAATGCAGAGATCACAGACACAGCAGGGCACTGGGAGAGTATGGTCATTATAAACACGCGGTCACAAATTAACTGACATGCCTCTTTCAAGAGGTGGAGCCTGATTCCCCTCCCAGCGAGTGTGAGCTGGACTCAGTGGCCCTTTTCCAACACATAAGAGCAGAGTGACCACGGATGTGTGGCCTCAGGGACCAAGGGAGGCATTACACCTTCTGTGTTGGTGGCTCTCTTGCTCAGCTTGCTGGCTCTCAGGGAAGGCAGGTGCCATGTCACACGCCCTGTGGAGAGGCCCACGTACAAGGAACTGAGGCCTCTCCCAACAGCTACATGTGTGAGCTCAGGAGCAGGTCCTGCAGGCCCTGTCAGGCCTCTGGAAAGACTGCAGCCCAGCGGGAGTGCCACCCCACGAGAGACCTGGAGCCAGGCCTTGCAACCACCCCCAGATTCCTGACCCACGAAAGCCGAAAGCTGGGTAAGATACTCAATGTTTGGGAGCTACTGAGCATTGGCGTAATTTCTTACATAGTGTTTGATGACTTCTTATGGGGAGCAATACCCAGGTTTGACTCTCATCTGTGGCAAGTTCCATGTCCGTCAGACGCCCAAGGCACCCCACTTAACCCCCACCCCATCCCCATCCCAGGGGGAGTCTCTCAGACCCAGCACGGACGAGGTGATTCTCTCCTCCAGTTCTACAGCAGTGCGTGGACCGTCCCAACAGCCCCTTCTCCTCCATTTCTCATGAGACCTATTCAAAAAGCCTGCTTCTCTGTTTAGGGACCAAAGTTGCTGAGGGCAGCACTCAATTTTCCTACCTTCTGGGGGGTCAGAGGCAAGGAGAGCAGAAACAGAAACAAATCTCAGAAACCAGTAACCTTCGCTTTCTGCCATATAGACTCCTATCGTGACTATAAACCGGAAGTAACAGGCCCTCCACCTGTCCCCTCAGGTGGAGAGGTCCGCGATGGGGGCCGACCAGCACTGCCCATGGTCCACACGTGACAGCACAGGCCAGCAGCCCCTGTCTGGAAACACCCTGGTGAAGGGAGGGCCTCAGCCTGATCTTCCCTTTGGACTAGCCCCCAAAGCACACTGATGCCCAAGCCTACGGGAGCCCCTGTAGAGGGAACAGCCCAAGATCTGGAAATCACCCGATAGGGAGACAGAAACCGGCTCTTGACAGGCACTGCCCAGCCAGCACAGCCGCCTTCACCATCACCTGCACTTTGTAAGACAACAAGGGCTTTCTTAGGCTGGGGACTTGGCCTGCCCAAGGTCACAGGAGGAAGCAGAGGAACTGAAGTCCCAGATTTCAAAGCCTGCATGAGTGTTTGACAGGAAAGGGCCTAAGACCAGAGATGGTGTACTGGGAAAATGGGAAGTCACAGGGTAAACTTAGCGTGCTTTCCAGGGCATTGACTTAAGTTGAAAATTTGGAAGATAAAGTAGGTTGTGACCTTTTTTCATCTTAAAAGAGTTTATCAGACGTGTGCAAACAAAATTGGCAGAACTTCACCTTTCACTGCCAGTGTACACTAACCACATGGGTGATAAGTCACTAAGAAAAGCCTGCCTCCGAGCATCTGCGTGGGGGCCGGCGCTGTGGTGTAGCGGGCAGGGACACCGGCATCCCTTATGGGCGCCGGTTCACGTCCCCGCTGCTCCACTTCTGATCCAGCTCTCTGGCCAGATTTCCTCCCCAAGGGGCTGCAGCATTTTACAACCCCACAAGCATGCTGTCACATTTTCAAATGGTTGACAGGAGCCAGAGGGGGACATACTTCATGACACGTGGAAATCAGATGACACGGACACCTCGGCGTCCACGAATCCTGCCTTACTCAAACACAGGTGTGCCCATTCGTGTATGGATCGCCTGCACCGCTGCTGAAGTCCAACAGCACAGGTGAACAGTCGCGACAGAATGGTGCTGCCACACGGCTGGAAACACTCCCTGACCCTTTGCCGAGAAGTTTGCCGAGCTGCTCCCCACACCGCTGCCTCCGTTGCACTTTTGCTTCTCTTACCTCAAATACAGGAAAGATTCCGCTCCGATTGGGAATGACAAACACAATCACAAAGCTCTCATCTCCTCTCTCGGTCACGGAGTGATGCAGAGAGCAGCCGGCCTCGAGAGCCACTTCCTCTGCCTGCCCACAGAGCAGGCTGGGAACCTTTTCTCTGTCGAGGGCCATCGGGACATTTACGATATCATTCACAGGCCATTCAAAATGAATAACTTAAAATCTGCCTGCTATAGATATATGGAATTTTGAGTCCTGCCTGTAGTTGCTTTGGTAAGGCCAGACCAAATGACTGCACAGGCTGCATGCGGCCCTGGGCTGGATGCTCCCTACCCCTGCCATACAGGGAGCAGGAACGGGCCACAGCAGGGACAGAGCGCCCTGCTGGCCTGGGGGCTCCCACGTGCAGGGGCGAAGGAGTTTTTCCTCCTGCAGAATGGTGATCTCCAGAGCCTGCCCCCACACCCTGGCTCAGAGCTGGGGCTTAGGAGGCACAAGTATAAGCCAAGAATCAAAGAAAAACTTACCTGCATCTGTCCTTTGGGCCATGCAGGAATAGACAGAGGCCTGCAAATCACCCAAGGCCACTCCCACCTGCGTCCCCTTTGGGATTTCAAACCACACGCGGGAAGTTCTTCCTGCCACGGTGCCAGGCTCGGCAATGTCTGGGAGCAGGTGGACGGGAAAACCCGAGGCCTTCAATCTGGAAAACAAAAGTGGACGCCCACACTGACCTCGTGCTTGGCTTTGTGCTGTGTGCTACTTGCAGGAAACAGCAGCGGAAAGCGCTAGGGGTCACGTACAGGAGAAGGGAGGCCGGAACCCAAGGCTGTCATGGAAAGCCTCAGACTGTGCCAAAGCCACGAGCTTGGGATTCGCTGACCAGCCTACAAGACAGCAGTCAGAAAGATGAGATAAGAGGAGCCAGAAGTCACCGCGGTCCCACCTCCTGTGTCGGCAAGGAACCCAAACACTGCAAAGGGAGGCAGTGGGGCGGGGGGTAGGGTGGGATGGCAGTGGTTTCTGTACAAAGTCATAGTCGGTTAGCACAGTCCCAACCAAAGTCACGCCTGCCAGTCTCCTCAACACCAAATGCACACATCACTCAGGGTTAGTGACTATGGGGCTGTTTTGTAAAACATGCTGGAAAGTCTTTTACCTGAACTACCAGGTGCTTTTTGCTTTATTTCAGAGCTCACAATTTGGGCCCTGAAGGAAGTGAACATATAGGGCACTGGAACTCTGTACCTGGAAAGGCAAACAATTGTTTAAAAAGATCTTTTTCTTAAGATTTATATATTTATTTATTTATTTGAAAGGCAATGTTACACAGAGAGAGAGATCTTCCATCTTTTGGTTCACCTCCCAGTGAAGCCACAAGCCTGGAACTCCAGCCACATCTCCCACTTGGGTGGCAGGAGCCCAAGCTTTCCCAGGTGCATTAGCAGGGAGCTGGATTGTAAGTGGAGCAGTGAACCAGTGAACCAGTGTTCATATAGGATGTCAGCATACCAGGCAGCAGCTGAGCCCACTATGCCACACACTTGCCCCTTAAAAAGATCTTAAAAGGTGTTTCTCAACATTCTACCTCCAGTTCTTAATCTTACTTTAAAATATATTAAGGGCAGGCATTTGGCACAGTAGTTAAGATGCCTAGTTTAAGTCTTAGCTACTCTGTTTCTGATCTAGCTTCCTGCTAATGCACACCCTGGCAGGCAGCAGGTGATAAAGGCTCAAGAGTTGGGACGCTGCCATCCACACAGAGACTTAGATTGGCTGCCCAGCTCCCGGCTTTGACCTGGCCCAGTCCTGGCTATTGCAGGCATTTGGGGAGTGAGTGAACCAGAGGATAGAAGGTCTCTCTTTGTGTCTCTGCCTTTCAAATAAGCAAAATACATTTTTTAAAATGAAAATAGATTTTAAAAATTGAGAGTTGTTCTTTGAAATCTACAGGCTGGGCCTGGGGTCACAGGGAACGAAGGAGCCCACCCCAGGAAGCCCACCGTAGGTCTCGGCAGCTGTGAAAGAGGAGCAGGGCAGCATGGCACTGGGAGAGGAGCCCCCATCCCAGAGCCTCACTGATGCTGGGCCCACACAGGCCCAGGCTGCAGCATGGAGCCCTGATCCTGGCCTCCGGGACCTTCCACCACTTCCTCTGACGCCTCGCTCTGGAGCTGCCCTTCAGCCTGGAGCCGGCCTGCAGGTTATACTCACATCTCCATGTTCCAGCTCTGGCTGCGGGTGTTGAAATAGCCCCAGCTAGCAGCATTCTGGTCGGACATCAGCGGTCTTGGCAAGCCACACAGCATGGCAACCACGTAGTCTTGGATGGTACCAGCTGCATCGTAGGACTTCAGGAGCTCTGGGCTGGTTTTCATACCAAAAACAATTCACTGTGGTCTGATATGGACTCAGAAGCATGTGCTGCACCCAGCTGTAAGCAGGAGGACTAGGCATAGCACAGTTGAGTGGCAGCCATGACCACTACCACCACCACCCCCTTGCTCCAAGCAGCTGGACCCCCTGGGGTGAGGACCTCCCATTCACTCCAAACAAAGCCAACTAGGGAGGGGACTCACAGGAGGAAGCACCACGCCTGGAATGCAGGACCTGGACTTTCTCAGAAGCCCTGTAGCCCTGACTCCACTGTGTCCTCAGCACCTGACCCTTGGCAAGTCACTTCTTTCTCTGCTCCCTTTCTTTCCCTCCCTGGGTTAGAATGAAGATCCAATAGGTGAAACGATGCAGTCCAGGACCACATCTAGGTCGTAAAACTACACCCTGGGCCAGGCCACGCTCACCAAGGCACAATTCAGCAGGTGGAGGGACGCTGGCCAGCCAGATCGCAGCCCTCTACCCACTCTCCTTACCCCAGAAATCCAGCAGTCCATCCGAGGAGCAATTGTCCCGTACCTATTTTTCAAAAGCCAAAAGATGGTTGCACAGCCGAAGCCGGTGGCTACACTGAGATGGGACTCTGGTTGGGGCAGAGAAGCCAGGAAGCTGCTGCTACACCGGCCATCCTGCCAGGTGACCAGGTGACTCACAGCTCGGGGCTCAAACACAGAAGCGGTGTCTCCCTCCGTCCATTCACAGCCTGGATGGAAAGAAGAGGATGACATGATACCCATGGAGAGAAGAGGCCCTGCCAAGCCACGAGCATGTCCTTGAGATCCCCCTGCTGGTGAGCTTATGGCACAGACACTACCAGGCTGATGCTCCTCTCACACTGGGCTCCGGTACCAGAGTCCCTGGGCTAGGACTGGGCCCCACCACATGAAGGTGCCCTAGGCGAGTCACTTCCTATCTCCACCTGTTCTGATCACATCCCATCATCCACCTCTTCTTCCCTTTTCAGTCCTGTTCTAACATGATAGTATATTTCCTCCCACCCCATAAGAGAAGACATTAGGCACAATCCCAGTCCCGTGGTCTCTACCCTTCCAGCTCTCATCATAACATTCTCTAGGCTTGATTCTGGATTATTATACACATTTTCTCTTTTCCTTTGGTCTCAGTTCACTGATTTTTAGACACCAAATTTTACTAAGGAACATGGGGTAGTTTTCATACCTAATATTTCTGCTGGGTTTTTTTTTTTTTTTTTTTTTGACAGGCAGAGTGGACAGTGAGAGAGAGAGAGACAGAGAGAAAGGTCTTCCTTTTGCCGTTGGTTCACCCTCCAATGGCCGCCGCGGCCAGCGCGCTGTGGCCAGCGCACTGCGCTGATCCGAAGCCAGGAGCCAGGTGCTTCTCCTGGTTTCCCATGGGGTGCAGGGCCCAAGGACCTGGGCCATCCTCCACTGCACTCCCTGGCCACAGCAGAGAGCTGGCCTGGAAGAGGGGCAACCGGGACAGAATCCGGCGCCCCAACCGGTACTAGAACCCGGTGTGCCAGCGCCGCAAGGAGGAGGATTAGCCTATTGAGCCACAGTGCCGGCCTCTTTTCATGTTTTCTTTGGTTGTGTCCTCACTGATTATCAGCTTTTCACATCACTTAGTATATCAAGCTAACTTTAAAGATTTATTTATTTGAAAGGCAGAGAGAGAGAAAGACAGAGGAGAGAGATAGAGAGAAAGAGATATATTTCATCTGGTGGTTCACTCTCCAAATGGCCATAACAGCCAGGGTTGGGCCAGGATGAAGCCAAAAGCCAGGAACTCATCCTGGTCTCCCATGGGGTGGCAAGGGCTCAAATACTTGAGCCATCCTCTGCTGCCTCCCCCTGCAGGCTCATGAGAAGGAAGCTGGATCAGAAACAGAGGAGTGGCCAGCGCCACGGCTCACTAGGCTAATCCTCCGTCTTGTGGTGCCGGCACACCAGGTTCTAGTCCCGGTCGGGGCGCCGGATTCTGTCCCGGTTGCCCCTCTTCCAGGCCAGCTCTCTGCTGTGGCCAGGGAGTGCAGTGGAGGATGGCCCAAGTGCTTGGGCCCTGCACCCCATGGGAGACCAGGATAACTACCTGGCTCCTGCCATCGGATCAGTGCAGTGCGCCGGCCGCAGCGCACCAGCCACGGCGGCCATTGGAGGGTGAATCAACGGCAAAGGAAGACCTTTCTCTCTGTCTCTCTCTCTCACTGTCCACTCTGCCTGTCAAAAAAAAAAAAAAAAGAAAAAAGAAAAAGAAAAAGAGGAGCCAGGATCTGAACTGGGGCTCCCGTGTGGGATATGGGGTCCCCGGCAGCAGCTTCACGTGCTGTACCACCATGCCCACCTTCAGGCTAATTTTAAATTCTTTCGGGAGTTTTGCTCCTGAGAGCAACTCCATCCAATACCCAGGATGATGCGCTTCTTTTGAAACAGCTGTGCTCTTCAACCAGCCTGTGTTTGGGGCTGTGTGCTCCTTTCTCCCTGGGGATCACTGGCTATTCTGTCAGGCAGCGTAAAGGGCCAGGCCTTGGCTCCTGTAGCACCAGTGAGTGAGAAAGATGAAGAAGTCCTACAGCGGGTCCACAGGTGAACCCACAGTCAAGCCACCCTTTGGGGCAGGGCTCTCCTCTGGCTCCAAGAACGTCACAACGGCCCTGAAACTACAGGCTGCTAGCCCTAGAGATAGAGGAGGACGCCTACATTGTCCACTGCTTTGATCTTATTCCTAAAGACACCCAAGCACCTAAGGGTGTGAGGAGAGGCGCTGGCGAGTCAGAGAGCCAGCAGCTCCCCCTCTAGTTCACCCTCCACGGGCAAGGCTGGCTGCCTCTTGCCCCAGTCCCAAACCATCAACCCACACAATCAGCTCAAAAGAGGCCCTGTCGACCTGGGATTTCTCAGTGTTCTCCCCTCTCCTTGGTGTTCTGAAACCAGTCCTGGAGGAGAGAACCAGCAGGTCCCGCGGTCCAACGATGCAGTGAATGGCCACAGTGGTGCCTCCTCGCGCACAGACACATTCGAGTGATCTTCCTAAACAGATCCCAAGGACCAGAACTGCTGAGTCACAGCAGCTATATGATTTTAATAAAGTCCAATTGTTCCCCCAAATGGCTACACTAACTTATATAACCAGCAGTGACCTTTAATGGAGCCAAGTTTCTTGGGGCCAGTGCTGTGGCATAGTGGGCTAAGCCTCCGCCTGTGGCGCTGGCATCCCATGTTGGTGTCAGGTTGAGTCCTGGCTGCTCTGTTTCCAATCCAGCTCCCTGCTTATGGCCTGGGAAAGCAGTGGAAGATGGCCTAAGTACAGGGCTTCCAGGCCCTGCACCCAGAAGCTACTGGTGGTTCCTGGCTCCAGATAGGTGCACTTCCAGCCATTGCAGCCCTTTGGGGAGTGAACCAGTGGATGGAATATCTCTCTCTCTCTCCCTCCCCCTCCCCCGATTTCTCTGGTTTCTCACTGTTTTCATCTGCACTCCCCTGATTACTAATGACATGGTCGCCATTTGTATTTCCTGTCACAGGAATGGCCAGTCAGTGTCCTCTTCCAAGGGGCCATTTGTCCTCAGTTATGGTTCGTGGTATGTACCGACAACCGCCTTCTGTTTACCACACATGTTCATGGGCAAATTCTCTGTCTGCTGCCCACCGGTTAGCTTTGTTTTATGATCACCATCTCTCCCCTGCTTTTATTGAGCCTGAATATGGAGTTTGAAAATGGACATAACCACAGGCCTCTCAGAAGACACCAGCGACTCCCTGGCCTCTCCTCCATCCCGCTCGCCCACGCCCTCGGTGAAGCACTTAGCTGTCTGCTCTGTTCACGGGGGCCCGTCCGCACTGGCTGGGTTTGGAAGGTAAAAGATTCATCCGCTCATTTCTCTGTCCCCCGGGGGGGCCCAGCACAGGGCCTTATGCATTGTGGGTACCAAAACCAAACTGAACCAAGGCTGCCATTAAAAGCGGCACAGCTTGATCCCAAACATGACTTCACTCGACCCCACTAAACAGCTGCTATCATCATCCCCCAAACAGCAGCTTTCCTCCTTCCCAGAAACAGAGAACAAAACAAGCAGGCCTGTGGGCTGGCTCCATGAAATATTCAGCAGCCCCTTCCACCAACGTGGCCCAGGGTCTGTGTGGTTGGTGCAGAGCCCAGGAGACAGGGAAAGGCAGACTGTGACCAGACCACAACCGCTGGCTCTCTGCTGTCTGCTTTGGGAAGGGTTTTAGTATTAAAAGGACATTTATTCTCATTAATGCAAAATTAAGGAGTTTAAAAAGCTTTTACAACTCCCTCTGAGAAGTCAGCTTTAATGCCATTACCTTCTGCTCCTGCCACTGCTTGGAGCCAAGTAACTCCTAGAGTCCCGACTGCCTCACAGAGGGAGGCGAGGAGGGAGAAGGCCGGTGTGGGCTTCCACAGTTACCCGGCCCGACCTGAGGAGTGCACAAAGGATGCGCCAGTAGACGCTCTATTCACCTCGCCCAGGGGACTCTGAATCGCTGACTGTCCAGGCAGACAGGGACGGACTCAATGCCCAACTCCTCCAAAGAAACCATCCTCAGCTTAAAACACGGATGTTGCTGAAGCCAGGCCGCGGGTATGTGTCAGTTCATAACACTATGCTCCCTAGATTCATGTCTACATAATCTTTTTTGTAATTTAAAAAAAAAAAATGGAATGGGCATTTGGCCTAGTGGTTAAAACACTAGTTAGGATCCCTGTGTCCCATGTCAGAGGGCCTAGATTCAAGTCCCAGCTCAGCTCCTGACTCCAGCTTCCTGCTAATGCACATCCAGGGAGGCAGCAGTGATGGGTCAAGTACGTGGGTCTCTGCCATCCACGTTGGAGACCAGAATTGGGTTCCTGGCTCCCAAATTCAGTCCCAGCCAGGAGCCATTGCAGCTATGTGGGGAGTGAACAAGCAAATGAGAGCTCCCTCTTTTACTATCTATCTTTTAAAAGTTACAGATTACGGGGCTGGCATTGTGGCGCAGCGGGTTAGGGCCCGGCATCCCATATGGGTGCCAGTTCAAGTTCTGGCTGCTCCACTTCCAACCCAGCTCCCTGCTAATGTGCCTGGAAAAGCAGTGGAGGATAGCCCAAGTCCCTGGGCCCCTGCACTCACATGGGAGATCTCGAAGAAGCTCCTGGCTCCTGGCTTTGGATCAGCTCAGCTCCAGCTGTCGCAGCCAGCCATTTGGGGAGTGAACCATCAGATGAAAGACCTCTCTCTCTCTCTCTCTCTTTCTCTCTTTCTCTGTGTGTGTGTGTCTGTGTGTGTGTAACATTTTCAAATAAATAAAATTTTTAAAAAGTAGGAAATATTCTATAACAAATTTTACTTTAAAATTATAGATTACAATAATATACTTTTTTAAGCTAGAAGAGAGGATTCTGAATGCTTTTCATAAACATATGATAGATGTCTGAAGAGACAGAGATGGTTACTCTGATTTTAATACTACACAAGTGTACAAAGATCCAGACATCACAGTTTTCATGTATCAGTTAAAAATAAAAATGTCTAATGCCTGCCATAACGGGAGCTCTCAGCTCCCCGCAGCTGTCTCATCCTTCCTGGACATTCTGCTGTTGGGCACTCGCTCCTCCCCAGGCCATGGTGCCTCCTGCAGCTCTGGAACTGCCATGGTCCTAAGCCTATTCTTCTTTTTTTTTTTTTTATTTGACAGGCAGAGTTATAGACAGTGAGAGAGAGAGACAGAGAGAAAGGTCTTCCTTTTTCCATTGGTTCACTCCCCAAATGGCTGCTATGGCCGATGTACTGCGCCGATCCGAAGCCAGGAGCCAGGTGTTTCTCCTGGTCTCCCATGCGGGTGCAGGGCCCACGCACCTGGGCCATCCTCCACTGCCTTCCTGGGCCACAGCAGAGAGCTGGACTGGAAGAGGAGCAACTGGGACAGAATCTGGCGCCCCAACCGGGACTAGAACACGGGGTGCTGGCGCCGCAGGCAGAGGATTAGCCTAGTGAGCCACAGTGCCAGCTGAGCCTATTCTTCTAATGCCCCTGAACCTCAACTTCTCTGTGCAGCAGTGACAGCAGCGTGACCTTCGAGTTCAATGAGATCAGCTGGCACCTGGCATGGGAAGTGCTCATTGCTGTTCCACTGGCTTAGTTCTCCTCCTGGAGGCCAGACAGGTCACTCACACACACACACACACACACCCCGCACAGTGGCAGCTCTTTGTAGGAGTCAACTAAAGGATGCCTTGCAACTGAGCCCATAAGTGGGAACACCCTGGAATCACATCTATGATTATATGAACAACAAAAGCTGTATCCAAATCCAGCATTTCCTCTGAGCCCTGCCATCTCCGACAGCCTGCAGTCAATCGCTTGGTTGTTGGCACTCACATCCGGAAACACTGATGGAAACGCAGACAGCTGGGGAAGAGCCACTCGGCTGAATCTAACAGAAGAGATCAGACATCTCCCTCTTTCTGACTGTTCGTGGATGGGTTCCCTTACTGGCTGCACATCTGTACAGCACGGACTGTACACAGGACACAGGAAGCAGCATGTGAGACCTCACTCCCAGTGCAGAATGACCCGCACCCCCACAGGACCCCTTCACAGCACCTCCCTAGTGAGTGTCGGCAGCATGAGACCAGCCCGAGTGCAGCATACCTTGGCCCGCTTTCCAAAACAGGACTCCATGCATCTGTCCTGACACTCCGACGCCCCCGACTCTCCGGAGCTGCTCCCGGGGAAGGGCGGCCAGGCACTCATTGAGGGCTTGGACAATTCTCCTCACATCCTGCTCCCGCCCCTGGAAACAGAACAGGACACATGGGACAGGGACAGACGAAAACGGGTCAGGCAGGAGGGCAGGTCTCAAAGGGATTTCCTGGGTAGTGGCTGCCCAACTAATTCCACCAGGGTCTTCCACGCCCTGCTGAGCGGCCTTGGGGAAGAGACAGGGGACTTGGAGGAGGAATGAGGCGGGGGCAGAGGCCTTCATAGACAGGGCACTGCTGTAGATGGGGGTTCAGCAAACAGCCTTGGTGCTATCCTGGGTCAGTCTGAGCTGGGAGAGCTGTTCCACACCGTAAGTGAGGAAGGGTCTCTCCTAGAGTGATAGGCCCAGAACACACAGCAGCCTGGCAGGCACAAGGACAAAGGGACATTTTCTGTTTCTTCCCCATGTTCCAAGTTTACTAGAATGAGCCTGACAGTGTGGACCAGATTGAACAGGACGGAAGAATCAGATTTAGTAACATGCAAAATGTAATCACCCACTATCTCAACATGACTTAGAAACCTAAATATGGGGCTGGCATTGTGGTGCAGTGAGTTAAGCCTTGGCTTGCAATGCCAGCACCCCCTATCGGAGTGCTGGCTCCAGTCGCAGCTGCTCTTTTTCTGATCCAGCTCCCTGAGAATGCCCCTGGGAAAGCAGCAGAAGATGGCCCAAGTGCTTGGGCCCCTGCCACCCACGTGGCAGAGCTGGATGGAGTTCCCAGGATCCCAGCTCCAGCCTGGACAGCCCTGGCTTCTGCAGCCATTTGAGGAGCTAATCAGCAGATGGAAGATCTATGACTTTTTTTTTTTTTTTTTTTTTTTTTTTTTTTGACAGGCAGAGTGGTCAGCGAGAGAGAGAGACAGAGAGAAAGGTCTTCCTTTTGTCGTTGGTTCACCCTCCAGTGGCCGCCACGGCTGGTGCGCTGCGGCCGGCGCACCGCGCTGATCCGATGGCAGGAGCCAGGAGCCAGGTGCTTTTCCTGGTCTCCCATGGGGTGCAGGGCCCAAGCACCTGGGCCATCCTCCACTGCACTCCCGGGCCACAGCAGAGAGCTGGCCTGGAAGAGGAGCAACCGGGACAGAATCCGGTGCCCCGACCGGGACTAGAACCCGGTGTGCCAGCGCCGCTAGGTGGAGGATTAGCCTAGTGAGCCGCGGCGCCGGCTTCTATGACTCTTTATCTCTTTCTCTGACCCTCTGCTTTTCAATAAATAAATCTTTTTAAAAATTAGAAGAAACGTACATGTTCCTTTTTCTGTGGGGGATGGCAGAATGAAGAATGCTAACAATTTTGAGAGCTGCTAAATAGCAGGGGAGTGACTGGTCCTAGAGGCAGCTTCGCTTGTAAAATGATTCTTTGGAATTTGAATGAGCCCAAGGGACAAATAAGATCTTGTGCAACCACCACAGGTGGGACAAGCTCCCAGCTGTCCAGGTGTGGCTGCATCCCTGGTGTTTCTTTTCTGAGACGAACCATAAAATTTCAGGCAGGGATGGAAGGCAGCTGTGTCTTTTTTTTTTTTTTTTTTTTTTTTTTTTTTTTTTTTTTGACAGGCAGAGTGGACAGTGAGAGAGAGAGAGAGAGAGAGAGAAAGGTCTTCCTTTGCCGTTGGTTCACCCTCCAATGGCTGCCGCGGCTAGTGTGTCTCCTTTTGTAGTGCACTCTTAAGGCTGAGAAGGGAATCCCAGAAGACCCCTCCCCTGCTGTTGGGGTAGACAGGAGCAAGGTTGGAAGGACCTTGATGCTGGGCCTGCTTCCAAAGCCTTTCCATTTTCTTTAGACAACATCGCTCAGCATGCCCCCAAATGCCATATTCGTGGGGTAGCCATTCTCCAAGTCCCAGCGCAGGATAGATGTGGTCAGGAAAGTCTGAAAGGACTAAAGCAGTTCAGGACGGGCTCTGCTGGTCTCTGCCCAGCTTTAGTCTGCCCATCTGACAAGCATTTTTTTGAGTGCCTTGAGAGCAGGCCCTCAGACTTTGAAACCAAAACCCAGCCAGGGAAAGCAGGCGAGGAAGAAGCCCAGGAAATATCTGGGGGCCCTGAGTGAACAAGGCTGGGCGGTGTCAAGGGAGTGGTAGTCTTGGGGAGGCCCTGGGGCTTTCTGAAAAGGAGTATATTGGGTCGCCAGCAGCCCATATGGGCACTGGTTCCAGTCCTGGCTGCTTTACTTACGATCTAGCTCTTGTTAATGGGAAAACAGCAGAATATGGTCCAAGTCCTTGGGCCCCAGCCCCCACGTGGGAGACCTGGAAGAAGCTCCTGACTCCTGGCCTCAGCCTGGCCAAGCCCTTGCCATTTGGGGGGGTGAATCAGCAGATGAAAGATACCTCTCTCTCTCTCCCTCCCTCCTTCTCTTCGTCTGTAACTCTGCCTTTCAAATAAAGAAAATAAAAATAAACAAAAAAAGGAAATGAGAGTATCATCTTCACAGCGGTTTTTAGAGGATTAATCGGCAATGGCATCGGCACCCAGCGAGGGATGTGTGTGCAGCAAAATCCTTCAGGGGCGGAGAACAGACTGCACAAAGGCTGCATCGTCTCTTCCTAGCTAGCCTTCTCGCCTGACTTCCTCCCTTCCTGAACACTTCTCTGGGTCTAACAACCTTGAAAGACAGGCATGAAGGAGAAACACTGCTTAACCAAGCATCATACTAATAAGTCCTCCTGAGATAAGAAGAAGAACAAAACGCAGGATTTGGACAAACTCAAAGGTCCTTAGAATCAGGGTGAAAATGCTTTCCAGTGTCTTAGGCCACAGGGGTGGGGAACCTTTTTCTGCTAACGGTCATTCGGATGTTTATAACATCATTCGCAGGCCATACTAAATGATGAACTTAAAAATCAGCCTGCTCTGGCCAGCGCCGCGGCTCAATAGGCTAATCCTCTGCCTGCGGCACCAGCACACTGGGTTCTAGTCCCGGTCGGGGCGCCGGATTCTGTCCCGGTTGCCCCTCTTCCAGGCCAGCTCTCTGCTGTGGCCAGGGAGTGCAGTGGAGGATGGCCCAAGTGCTTGGGCCCTGCACCCCATGGGAGACCAGGAGAAGCACCTGGCTCCTGGCTTCGGATCAGCGCGGTGCACCGGCCGCAGCGCGCCGCCCACGGTGGCCATTGGAGGGTGAACCAACGGCAAAAGGAAGACCTTTCTCTCTGTCTCTCTCTCTCACTGTCCACTCTGCCTGTCAAAAAAAAAAAAAATCAGCCTGCTCTACATTTATGGACTCTCTTGTCCTACCTGCGTGGTTGCTTTGGCAGGACCAGACCAGATGATTTTGCCAGGCCTTACAGGGCCTGTGGGCTGCACTTTCCCCACCCCTGTCTGGCCTAAAAATATGCCAGCTTCAATCAGGCGCCACAGGTCAGCATCCCTAAATTGAGATCCAAAATCCTCAAAAATGTGAAACTTTTGGCACCCCAACATGATGCCACAAGTGGATAATTACACGCCATGAAACTTTGTTTCGTGCACACAGTTGCTAAAAACATTCTATGAAATTAGCTTCGGGCTATGTGTAAAAGATACATATGAATCATTAATGCATTCTGTGTTCAGACGTGGGTTCCAACCCCTGGATACCTCGTTACATATATGAAAATATTCCAGAATCCAAGACACTTCTAGGCCCAAGCATTTGGATGAGGGATATTCAACCTGTATATCCAAATGGGTAGGAGTTACAGACACAACTTGAACAGCAAGCAAGGATCTGACACAAACCTGGGCTTTGTGACTACATCTTCCTTTAAATTAGTAAGCCCCTGTTAGAGACTATAAATAGGAACCAGGATTCCATCTCAAACTGAACTTACTATTCAAAGGCCCTCAGTCATGGTGGTGGTGAAAATGTCAGCTTTATTAATGGAATAAGCTAAATTTAAAAGTCTAAGTAAAAACTAGAGTTCTGAGTTTCTTAAGTTGAATACTTGTTTTGATCTCATGCAAAGCAAACTGCTTTTGGCACACAAAAACACCTGAAGACACAGAATAAAATCGTAAGTGACAACCAGAAGGGTCCATGGAAGTTCAGACGAGAAGAAGAGAAATGTGGCTCTGGTTCTTAATAAATATTGGCTTTCTGGGGAACTACAAAAGCTCAGGGTCTTGCAAAAGATTGAGTCCTCGGCCCCTCAGTTCCCACCAGGGAGTGCAGCCTTCCGCTCCGGGGAACCAACCCCTCACTGGCCCCTGGCAGCCTGCTGGCCTTGATCAGGGGCAGTGCTTGGCTCCTCACAAGCAGGAAAGCAACATGGAGAGAGCTTTTCAGAATGGAGTCTGGAGGCAATCAAGAGGCAGGACGTGGGCATGACCTCAGCTGCTGCTGGGAGCATGAACCTTGGTCGCCTCCACCCTGTGAGCATGTGCTCCCAGAACGACCAGGGCCACCTACGGTCACCCTGTGGCCAGAGGCTCACGATGCAAATCAACAGGTTATGGGACTTGTCCTGTGGCGTTCCCATTCTTTATCCTCTATGGGTCACACAGCTCCCAGTCCTCCCCACTACTCAGTCTCCCATATAAACACCCACCTGACGGGCTTTCTTCAGGACACTGATCTGAACCCACATCTCCTGAACTGCACCCCTAAGACCCCAAGTAAAGTCCTTTTTCATTTTTGCAGCTCCTGATTTTGGATTGATCGACACAGCATGAATAAAGAAACAGAAGGAAGGAAGACGAGGAGCAGCAGCATGGGGGAAGGAGTGGAGATGGAGCACAGAGCATTCCCAAGAGAAGGCTGCCCCAGCCCTCACAAGGATCCCCGAAACTTGGAGAGACAGTGGACAACGGAAGGAGCAAAGAGGAGGAAGTACCTGGCTGTGTACGATCCCCAGAGGGGAAGAAAGAAAACAAGGGAAAAAGGAGGCAGGGAAAGACACACTTGCTTAGGCCTGCACAGTACAACATGGCAGTCATTAGCCACATGTAGCTGGTCTGAACTGAGATGTTTTAATTAAAAGAACACAGGATTCAGATTTTTAATTAAAAAAAGTATGATATCTCATTAATAAATTTATATTATTACATGTCAAAACGATAATGTCTGGACATGGGGTTAACCAAAATATGCAACTGAAATTAATTTCGCCTGTTTACCTTTACGTCCTCTAACATAACTCCTAGGACATTGAACATCACCCCACGCCTCACACTTCCAGTTTGCATCTCTACTGGATGGTGTTGGCTTCAACAGCCCCCACACGGCCTTTGGGCGGGGCATCGTCCCAAGACAGAGGAGCCACTGTTTAAAATGGGCCTGGAGTGGGTGAATTGTGTGGTTGGAGACGGCGGAGCAGGGAAGCAGGCCAGAGGGGAGTCGGGACAAGGGGGCAGTGTTCAGCAGCGTTGGGGGTGGGTGTGCTCGGGGAGCTGCTCTAGGAGAGGCACAAGGAACCCCATTGCTTGGTTCAGGCGGTCACTCAGTCTCCGTCCAGACCAAATCCTAGAACTTCAGACATGAAAAGGGTGCTCCACCCTACTTCCCTGTGTTCCTTTTTACAGCTGAGAAAACTGAAGCCCAGAGGGGTTAGAAAATCTCTGAGGGTCACAGAGCTTCCTTCAAATACCTGAGATTTTTAAATTTGCAAATACCTAAAATCCCGATCTTCCACGTAGGCACGAAGCCTGACCTTGGCATACTTCTGATGAGTGAAAAGCATGGACATGAGAAAGAATACGGCCATCGCGTGCTGCTGTAACCTGCACCTCTTGGGAGTGGAGCGTGGCCTAAGAAATCAAGGACAGTGCTGGAAGCGGCCTTCGAGCTCCTGGAACAAGCTGAGGCTCCAAACAGTCAGGAGGCTGCCTAGGGAGCTCCCTGGTACTAGTTTCTACTGCCCGTGAAGTGAACCTAGAGACACCCTTTCCAGGAATGAACGAGATCCAGCTCTGAGGACTGATAACACTTCTGAATCGGCCACCAGAGCCTGCTGTCCCCAGATTCTCCATTTCTATCTCGGTGCTCCCACAAGCCACCAAATGCACCAGATGACTCCCTATCTGATCCTTTAAGGAAAATGTTAACCGACTTATGTCTCAAGGTCGCCCCTCTGGGTGTGTCTCATTCGGCCTTTGGGGCTGGCGGGCTGTGGCCGGCCAAGTTTCTCAGTCCACTTCTGCAGAGCGAGAGCAGGGCCCATCAGGCCTGGTTGTGCACCTGACTTCCGGAGGAAAACCCAGACTTTGTCCTGGGGAGCGAATTGAATCCTGGACTTGAGGGCACAGGGCGAGTGTGAGGAGCAGAGTGACAGGGAGGCCCGGGGTCTTTCCCCAGGCACAGGACAGCAATTCCTCGCAGGTCGGGATACAGAAGACAGAGAGCACAGGGACCCTGAGCGGAGCCATGGGCAAGAACCCCAGAGGAGCCCAGAGAGGGAGACCAGTGTCAGCAGGAGGGGAAATCCTGGAACCAGGCCTAAAGGATCAGCCAGAGCCGCTGCAGGCAGAGGGCACACGGGCCGGGGTCGGCGGCACTTCTTCGCGGGAGGGGGCTACCAAGAAGGCCTCCTCGGCGGAGGAGGAGAAAGAGGAGGAGGGGTGCAGAAGGCTCCTGGAGGCGGCGCGGCTCCAGGACGCTGCCTCACCTGCGGCCCGGCCGCCGCGCTCTCGACCTCCACCTCCGCCCGCGCAGCTCGGGCACAGCTCGCCAGGACCACGAACCCGGATGGGTCGTCGGGCGCGGCCTCCAGCAAGGCGGCCTTCACAGACGTGGTGCCCAGGTCGATGCCGAGAGTGACGGACCCCGCAGCCATCGCCACTGCTTTCGGCAATGCAGGGCTCCGGGCGTGAGGCGGAGACTCCCCATTCCATCCACCCGGGAAGGCGGAGCCGGGGCGGGGCCTCGCCTGTCAGCCATTGAGCCACGTGCAACAGGGGGACTCCTCGCTTTCCCATTGGTCGAGGAAGAGGGACTCTCACGCACCCCTCTTGGCGGGCCCCGACGATAGGCGGAGAGGCGGCGGAAGGCGGGACCTAAGAGCTCGGCCCGGTGGAGTAGAGGTTCCGAGCCCGCGGAACGCAGACCTAGGCTTTACTCTCTCACCACAGCAGCGCGAGACTCGCCAAGAGGGGCTGGAGACTCCCAGAGCCTTTGTGTCCCTACAAATGGCATGGTCTTCCCTCACGTCCGAGCCCCCAACCCTGCTAACCTATCTCCCGGCTAGGTCTCGTGAAAACTACAACTCCCAGAGAGCACCGCGCCGCGGCTTGTGGCCCACGAATCAGGTGGCTCGGGTCAGGTGACCGCTGTCCCGCCCTCACACAAAGTCTGCCCAGCCCGGGAGCCCGGCACACTCCGGAGCGACACCTGGCGCGAGGTTCACGCGTCCCGTGAGGTCCGTCCCCCGAGCCCCGGGGCGCTCTCAGGTGAGAGCCGGCGCGGTCCCGACAGCCTTCCCCGCGGCACCGCGGACATAACCCCTCGGGCTTCGGTCCTGTGCCACCAGCCCCGGCTGTCGACGCCGAACGCCTCCCAGCTTGGAGGGCCCGGGTGGTGGTGGGCGAGGCAGGGACCCCAGGCGGCTGGGGCAGGGTGGGTGGTCTACCCCAGCGCGCGGGAGCCCCTGCCCCGGCACCAGCTGGTGTGAGGCGAGGAGTTTCCCGATTGCTCTGGAGAGGCGAGCCGCCGTGGACTTGGTGCTGCGCGCCGGGCTCCCGGGACTCAGCAGGAGACCCACCCTGCCCTCCAGGGCGTTCGGACCGTGGGAAGGGAGGACACCTGGCCCTTGCCGTGCTCAATAACATTGAAGAAAATAACAACCAATGCTTTGTGCTTGCTGGATGCCCCGGGCGACAGCTGTTATCGCTTCCCGGTTGTTTCTCAACCTTTTCATCCCTGTCAACCGCTGTCCCTCTCTGAAATTCTAATACCGCTGATAAAACTCTGTTCCCGTGTGTGCTGTGGCCCTTTGGAAGGCCACAAACCACTGTGGTAGCCACGATTTCTTCCCCCTCCCCTCAAGAGCCAGTTTTAGCCCCAGCCGAGAAGGCTTTCTAACTCCTCTCTTTTAGGTGTTAGCAGGAACTGGTGTCGTGGCGCATGTGGAAGACCTCGGCTTGCAAGGCCGGCATCCCATAGCAGAGTGCTGCTGCCAGTTCTGGCTACTGGGCTGCTGATCCAGCTTCCCGGTAATGTGCTTGGGAAGGCAGTGGAAGATGGCCGAAAGTGCTCCAGCCCCTGCTGCCCTCATGGGAGGCCAGGATAGAATTCCTAGCTTCTGGCTTCAGCCTGGCCCAGATCAGGCAGTTGCAGCAGTTTGGGGAGTGAACCAGCCTATGGAAGATTTCTCTCCCTGTCTCCCCGTCTCTGTCACTCCGGCTATCAAATCAATCAATCAATCTGAAATGCTATGAGGTCGATGCTACCGTCCCTATTTTCTCATTAGGAGATTGAAGTGTGAGGTTAAGTCACACAACTAAAGTCGCACAACTAATACATGTGGGAGCCCAGGTGGAAGCCTGCGCACGCGTCTCTAGGCACACGTGCCTTGTCCCATCTGTGTTACCCCTCTGGAGGTGGGAGACCCGGGGCATTGCACTTGGGGAACAGAGGCCAGGACTCACTGAGATTCCTGGCGGAGAGGAGCTGCTGCCACACCTGACTCCAGGCTGCTCCTGGGCGGGGGCTGGAGGAGTGGGAGAGACCGCTTAAAGCAAGTGACAGCTGGACATCTGGAGGAGGCCTGGGAGGTCGTTAGAACTTACAGGAGGAAGGGCATGTGAGACAAAGCCATTGTTGTGAAATGTCGTTGCTATCTTGTTGCTTTCACAAGCTGCCAGTTGTGTATAATTATCAATGTGTTTTTTAATGTTTGTTTTTTATTTGAAAAGCGGACAGATCTTCCATCTGCTAATTTATTCCCCAAATTTATATCCCCAAATTTGGCCAGGACTGGGTCAGGCCAAAGCCAGGAGCTCAATCCGTGTCTCCCACGTGGATGGCAGGAACCTAAGTACATGAGCCATCGTCTGCTGCCTCCCAGAGTCTGCATTAGCAGGGCACTGGATTGCAAGCGGAGCCAGAACTCAGCTCAAGCGCTTGGATATGGGATGCAGGGGTGCCGAGAGGCACTTGAACGCTGCACCAAATGCCTGTCCCTTTAACGTTTTAGTTGACTTGGCTCTCAGTGTCTGTCTGGCCTCCTGGGGGTCTCAGCCTTTGGGGCTGGGGGACTTGCTGGGCACATGTTTGAGTTTCTCAGTTCTGATTCCACATCTGCGGAGTGAGAAAAGGAACTGGTTTGGGGAGGGCGGAGACCCCCAAGCCAATAAAACAACATTCTTTCTGTTAATTAAGTTTGCAGAAAGCAATTGAAGAAGGGAAAATGCAGGCCTGTGTTCACTTCCTCAGAGTGGGACTTTACACAACCCACTTGTTTCCCCTTCTGTCACACAAAGATAAGTCCTCTCGGGGTCCCGGTCTCTGAGGCTGTGCTGCAAAGCCCCTGAGGTCAGAGTGTGAAGGCAGGTCCTTTATGAGCTGTCCCTTGCCTGCTTCCAGGTGGCTTGTCCCTCTGGAGCTGATTCAACCTGAACAGGAATGTCTCATGCCGTTTGTTTTCCTTCTAGTTCTGGGAAGCTGTGGACCATGAGAAGGAATTGGCTGATTATTTTTATCCTTTTCTCCCTGAAGCTTGTGGAGAAATGTGGTAAGTTCAGAACTGAGTCGTCATGGCCCACATGAGTAGCCTGTCCTGTTGGTTGTCGAGGAATTGGTGCCATCCAGATCACGTGTGTCTGCCTGCTCTCACCAGGCCGAGTGGCCATTACTGTAGTGAGATAGACCCTGGTCTGGGGTCCGGGAGTTTCTCAAAAAGCCAGATGGTTCCACCAGTAATTGGCCTGCTGCCCTGGGGTCCCTGTTTCCTTTTCTGTGTCACTAAAGTCAATGTTTATTTTTTTTAATTTATTTAAGATTTATTTATTTATTTGAGAGGTGGAGCTACAGAGAGAGAGAGAGATGCTGGTTCACTCTCCAGATGGCCGCCACAGCCAGAGCTGGGCTGATCCAGAGCCAGGAGCTCCTTCCAGGCCTCCCACATGAGCGCAGGGGCCGAAGCACTTGGGCCATCTTCTACTGCTTTCCCAGGCCACAGCAGAGAACTGGGTCAGAAGAGGAGCAGCCGGGACACGAGCCGGCACCCATATGGGATGTCAGCGCTGCAGGCAGAGGCTTGTCTACTACACCACGGCGCTGGCCCCAGTAGTTGGTTCTTCAAGTCAGACTTTGCGATTGACTGTCAAAGACGAATTGTGAGTCTGCAGCATTATGGGATAAATATCTGTGAAAAATGGTTCCTGTGGTTCCTGCCCTGCCCTGTGGCCTTACAGAAAAAGTTGTAAGCCCTGAGAATACAGACAGGTGACCACCCTTCCCCCCACCCATTGTTCCTGATTCTGCCAGGCACAGGAGTCTGTGTTGCATCTCCTTAGGGACTGAGGAGCAGGGACAGGCTGGTGACAGGGTTTGCACCTCCCGAGAGGAGGGCTGACTGCTTTTGAGGCTTGTGTCATTCTAGCAATTATTCCAGTGCCCTAGACATTTCTGAAATTCCTTCCCCAGAGAGCTTTATTTAGCACTGTAGGGTGCGGGGCCCATTTTGATCATTAGCTTGGTTGCTGTCAAAACCCAAATGAAATCCCTTAATGAAGAGTTCAGGTGGGAAAAGAGCAGCACTCCTGCTGAAGTTACCCAAGAGCCCTGAGTAAAGACTGTACACTTAGGGTCACTGGGCCCTGGAATCTGAGGCGAGGTCATCTGGTCAGCCCTTGCCGGTCTGCTAACCAGTCCGGTCCTGTCACTTGGCAGTCTCACCTTGGGAATAAGCAGTTTCCACAAAAGCGAAGGGCTTAGGGCTGTGGGGCCCAGAGTTTCTGGTGATGCCAGGGTCTCATTCTAGCCCTGCAGGGTCACATTCCCTGGGACCATGGCTGCAATGTGTGTGCACATTGCTAATGGGTTCCCCTAGGAAAGAGCACAAAATTCAGCTAAAACCACTCCAGTTACTCAGAGGGGAAGCTAAGGCCCAGAGAGGGTAGGAGGCTTCCCCAGAGTCACAAAGCTAGACAGTAACCAAGCTAGAACCTGGCTAGGGTTCCTGCCCAGTCACGTGGCTTCCTTTCCTGAGTGTCATAGTGGAAGCTGCAGTAAAACCGAGTAACTGGCATCAGATTTCTTTTTTTTTTTTTTTATTTTTTAAAGATTTATTTATTTATTTATTCGTAAGGCCGAGTTACAGAGAGGCAGAGGCAGAGAGCTTCCATCCACTGATTCACTCCCCATATGGCCCCAGTGGCCAGAGCTGGGATGATCGGAAGCAGGAGCCTCTTCCAGGTCTCTCACGTGGATGCAGGGGCCCAAGGACTTGCACCATATTCTGCTGATTTCCCAGGCTATCGTGGAGAGCTGGATTGGAAGTGGAGCAGAGACTGACTCTGTGGCGTAGTGGGTAAAGCCACCACCTGCAGTGCCAGCATCCCATATGGGCGCCAGTTCGAGTCCTGGCTGTTCCACTTCCGATTCAGCTCTCTGCTATAGCCTGGGAAGCAGTAGAAGATGGCCCAAGTCTTTGGGCCCCTGCACCTGCGTGGGAGACCCAAAAGAAGCTCCTGGCTCCCCTGGCTACTTGCTTTGGATCGGCACAGCTCTGGCACTTGTGGCCACTTGAGTGAACCAGCAGATGGAAGACCTCTTTCTCTCTCTCTAACTCTGAATTTCAAATAAATAAATAAATCTTTAAGAAAAAAAAGTGGAGTAGCCGGGATTTGAACTGGCACCCATATAAGATGCCAGTGCTCCAGGCAGTGGCTTTACCCACTGTGTCACAGGCCCCTATTTATTTATTTTGAGAGGCAGAATTACAGACAGGCAGAGGGAGAGACAGAGAGGTCTTCCATCCGCTGATTCATTCCCCAAATGGCTGCATGGCCGGAGCTGGGCTGATCCAAAGCCAGGAGCCAGGAGCTTCTTCTGGGTCTTTCAGGTACATACAGGGGCCCAAGCACTTAGACCATCTTCTACCACGTTCTCAGGCCATTAGCAGGGAGCTGGATCAGAAGTGGAGCAGCCGGGACTTGAACTGGTGCCCATATGGGATGCCGGCACCATAGGCAGAGGTTTAACCTCCTAAACCACTGCACTGGCCCCATGGCACTGGATTTCTAACCTCATTCTGAGTCTTTCTACTCTTTGCTTTGGGAGGTGATCATCAAAGACCATAGGTGAGATGATTGGCCTTCAGGGGGTTTTGTCTCTGATGTCTGTGGGTGGACTCTTGACATAGTGGATCTGTAGTCAAGAACCTGGACTCTGGACAACACAGGTCTGGATTTGAATCTTGTCTCCACCGTTTTTGAGCTGTATGGACAAGATACCTGATAATCCCCTCCTGGAATTCTGGGTTTCCTTATATGCTGACCTCTCACTGTTGTAATGATTAAAAATGAGAGTGGAGAGTATAGCAGAGTGGCTGGCACGGGGTAGGGTACAGACTGGGAGAGGTGCCAATAAGTGTAAGGTAAAAACTAAAACCTGGGATGGCCCCATCGTGACTCATTATTGGTCATTCTTATAAGGTATAGAGGCTGCTACCCCAGGATGGAATTTAAAATGTGTTCTTCCGAGATATGCTTCTTACTTCCTAACCACCTCCCATCTAGGTTCAAATTTCCTGCAGTTATTATGAGATATTACAAGTTATTGCAAGATAATAATCAGAACCAACAAATACAGTTATCCCTTGGCGTCCTGGGCTTCAGGATTCCTGTGAATACCAAAATCCACACAGGCTCAGGCCCCTTCTACAAAAGGTCTAGTACAAGGGAACTCCAAGAAATCCATGGGGCTCTGCTGCGATAATAAAGGTCAGTCTTTTTGCTGTGTTAAAAAAAAAAAAGTTCATAGGGGTGAGTGTTTGGTGCAGGGGTTAAGATGCTGCTTAGGGGGCCAGTGTTGAGGCGCAGCAGGTTAAGCCACTGCCGGCAACAGCAGCATCCCATATGAGTGCGAGTTCAAGTCCCAGCTGCTCCACTTCTGATCCAGCTCCCTGCCAATGTGCCTGGGAAAGCAGCAGAAGATGGTCCAAGTACTTGGGCCCCAGCACTCACATGGGAGACCCAGAAGATGCTCCTTTCTTTGGCCTGGCCCAGTCCAAGCGCTTGTGGCCATTTAGGGAGCGAAACAGTGGATAGAAGGTCTCTCTGTCTCTGCCTCTCTGTTTGTAATTCTGCCTTTCAAATAAATCTCCAAGGGAAAAAAAAAAAGATGCTGCTTGGGACGCCCACATCAGAGTGCTTGAGTTTAAGTCCTGGCTCCACTTCTGATTCCTGCCTCCCACTAGTGTGCCCCCTGGAAAGCAGCAAGTACTGGCCGTGGGGACCCAGAGGTAAGGTGGCTGCTAGGCATCCCTTTCAGTACCCCTGCATGGTGATTTGTTCTTGCACTTGCATATCTGGCATGATCCTCAGCTCTAGGTAAAATTTAACAGGGACAATACGTCTTGCTGCCCAGTTACATAAGCCGAACAAAGCCTCAGCTGATATCAGAGCAGTGAGTGCGACAAAGAAGGGGCCTGGTTGTCAAAGGTGGCTCCAGGACCTGAGAAGCTTGGTTTCTGCAAGGGCCAGGGTGGGGACCTCCTGCCCAGGGTGGGGACCCCACAAGGCAGAGCAGTCCCTCCCTGTCTGCAATGCCACGTGCAGGACTCGTGTGGAGAAGGCAGCTCAGGTGTGGTCAGGAGAGGTTCCGGGTACCCGAGCCAGATCCAACAGCACAAGTTCAAGGCAGGCCGAGCCCTGTGGAGGAGATGAGGTTACTCTTGCAGGAAGTATGCAGGAAGACACCTACCAGGTAGGGGTACTGAGAAGAGGAATCAGGCAGGACAGGTTGAATTAGCTCATTTGGAAGTCCCAACTCGAGCATCTAAAATTTCCAATCTTGGCTCTTCATCTCTTGCCTCTGAGGGGTCTGGATGGAGGGAGAGCTGGGCCCTGCCCACCCCTCGCCCTGCAGAGACCTTCATCAGAGTTAAGCACTTGCTTCCCCTTGTGAGTGCCCTCCGCTGTCCCATTCAAGATTCAGCATCCTGACCTGTAGGCCATGCATAGTCCTGCAGCCTGTGAGGCAGGGCTATCTCAGGGCTATTTCAGCTCCGTGAACAGAGGAGATCTTGTGCTGTCCATCTGAGGAACTGGTTTAAGTCCACCTCTTGCAGAGCACGGCTTGGATTCCTTTGTGATCACTTTTGGGCTCCATGGTTCCCAGACTATCTCTAGAGACCCCCAGAGCTGCCGACCAAGGAGTGGGAGGAAGGGCCAGTGTTTCTTGCTCTGGCCTGTGTCTTCCTGTCTCTGAATTTGGCAGCACATGGGGGAAACAGCATAACAAGGACATTGGGTTTCCAGGCCCACAACGTGGCCTCCAGACCTTCTGTGTCTTGGCCTAGAAAATAGAGGTCAGAGGGGCCTCTGCTGTGGCACAGCAGGTAAATGCCCTGGCCCGAAGCCCCAGCATCCCATGTGGGCGCCAGTTCGAGACCCGGCTGCTGCACTTCTGATCCAGCTCCCTGCTATGGCCTGGGAAAGCAGTAGAAGATGGCCCAAGTCCTTGTTCCCCTGCACCTGCGTGGGAGACCTGGAAGAAGCTCCTGGCTTTGGATTGCCACAGCTCCAGCCATTGTGGCCAGATGGGGAGTGAACCATTGGATGGAAGGCCTCTCTCTCTGCCTCTCCTCTCTCTGTGTAACTCTGACTTTCACATAAATAATTAAATCTTTAAAAAAGGAAAAAAGAAAAGACAGTAGAGGTCAGAACTCCTGGTTCAGATCTCAGGCCCATCATCTCAGATTCTTCTCGTGGGCCTGAGCTTTCTGACCTAGTGACTGACATCACTGATTGGGGTCTTTCCAGAGTCAACCGTCAGCCTCACCGTTCCTCCTGTTGTGAAGCTGGAAAATGGCAGCTCGACCAACGTCAGCGTCACCCTTGGGTGAGTTCTCAGGTCCAGCTTGTCCTCAGCCCACTGGACTCTCCCCACAGCTTGATCCCTGGCTTGGTCTGTTCATATTTCAGATGTGATGTTCTTACTTCCACACTCTTAAGACAGGCCAGGGGAAGAGCAGTGGTGCCAGCAGGGGGCTGCAGAGCCAGGTCCCTCATCTGACCCACACTGAATCCTTTGGATAGGAGGATGAGGAAGGGCAGAGCCTCCTCCCCAAGAGAGGAGAGCCCCTGAGTGACCAGAAGTGGATGCCACCCTTCACAGTGCTCCTTTCAGACGCCAGATATTTTAGGGGAGTCCTGAAGGACAAGGAACACAGAGCTGAGTGCTGCTCTGCCACTTCCAAAAGCGGATGTGGCCACATTACATGGCTCCCTCTTGTGCGATGCTCAGTCTTAGCCTGGTCTGGTCCTGGCTGGCATCTGCTCATTCTAAGTATGAGGGTTCCAGGCCAGACTGCAGGGCCCACCTCTTCCTTCTATGCCCTTGGCTGCTCTGTCCTGCCCCAGCCTCCCAGCTGTGAGGGTGCCCTGAGATGAAGATCCAGAGCCTGTCCTTTTCTATTTACGCCTCTCCCCTCTCCTGCCCTCCCCTGGGAGGCTGATCTCAAACCAAAGCTCTGGCTCCTAGGCCTCCTCGCAGGCCTACCAGGCCATTCCAAGTTCCCGCCATCTCTGCACACCAGCAACACCTTATAAGTCTCCCAAGTCATCCTGCCACTTTATAAACGAACTCCCGGACTCTAAGCCCAGATGTGATGCTCCTGTGGGCTGCTATCAGTCAGCATGTCCAACTTACCTGGCCACACACCTCCAGCTTGCCTTGCACACTCTGCTCCCCCTGGCGCCTTGCTGGGAAGGCCCTGGCTCAGACTTGAGCTCCGCTCTGGGAAACCTTTCCCGTTGGAGCAGGGGACCGTGACCCAGTCTACCTCTAGGTGCCTCAATGTGTCATTCCAGCCAGTTTGCTGCCTCCTCAGGTCTCACCCACCTTGAAGGGATTTCTGGTCTCCTAATTCAGACAAAATGCCTCAGAGACGGGGGTTCCCATCCCTGCCTGCTCGGGGATGCGCACATAGTATTTCCTAGCTCTAGCTGCTTGAGAAATGTGGGCCCCGTGTAGAATCCAGAGGGCTGGTTGAGATCTCAGCATCCAACTTCACGGCAGTGATCAGACTCTTGTCTTCCACAGGCATCCGTTAAATACTAGCTTGGTGATCACTTTGGAAGTCACCTTCCGTTCCAAAAACGTCACCATCCTGGAGCTGCCTGATGAAGTAAGTAACAGCTCCTCACCTGTGCGTGGGGAAAATGCTAGGTGAAGAAGCGCGTTTCAGGAGGGAGCGTGGGGGAGTGGTCACCGAGCCAGGCCCGCTCCTCAGCCTGGCAGTCTGTGACGTTGGCCATGTTCCTCTGGGAGGTGAGCATTATGTGCCATGAAGATGCGATAGCGAGAAACCTGAGGTGGATGCGGTTCTGAGAGGACCAGAGAAGACCTGCTAAACAACTTCCTCAGCCTTCTTAGGACCAGGAGTAGGATATTGGTATCCTTCAAGATTTAAAACTCACTTTGTTTGTTAATAGTAATTCAGCTTCAGCCAGCGCCGCGGCTCACTAGGCTAATCCTCCGCCTGCGGCACCAGCACACCGGGTTCTAGTCCCTGTCGGGGCACCGGATTCTGTCCCGGTTGCCCCTCTTCCAGGCCAGCTCTCTGCTGTGGCCCGGGAGTGCAGTGGAGGATGGCCCAAGTGCTTGGGTCCTGCACCCCATGGGAGACCAGGAGGAAGCACCTGGCTCTTGGCTTCGGATCAGCGCAGTGCGCCGGCCGCAGCATGCTGGCCGCGGCGGCCGTTGTGGGGTGAACCAACAGAATAAAAAAGAAGACCTTTCTCTCTGTCTCTCTCTCTCACTGTCCACTCTGCCTGTCCAAAAAAAAAAATAGTAATTCAGCTTCTAGAAATCTGCCCCAAAGAAACATGTGCACATAACATAAGCATGGAGATGCCCACTGCACTAGTGTCATAGCAGTACTCTGGAGCCAGCCTATATTCATGAACTTTAATGGGTGAATACTTTGTGAATCATTTCTACTACGGCATACTACACAACTATTAAAAAGAATGAAGTACATCTTTAAAAAAAAAAAGTGGGGTAGACATTTACCCTAGTAGTTAAGCTGCCCACAACCCCTATTGGAGTACCTGGGTTTGACTCCCAGCCCCTGTCTCCTGCTAATGCAGACCCTGGGAGGCAGCAGTGATGGCTTCAGTAATCAGTTCCCACTGCCAGCTCCCAGCTGCAGCCTGACCCAGCCCTTTCCTGTTACAGGTATTTGGGAAATGAACCAGCAGATGGGAGGTGTCTCTCAAGTTATTTAAAAAAAGAAAGAAGTGGTTCTGAGAATGTGGAAGTTCCTAAGATGATTTTCTAAGACCTTGCAACTCAGAAAAGCCATCAGGGATCAGCATCATTGGCCTTGCTTAAAAACCTAGAAACACAAAATCTCAGGTTGCTTCCTAGACCTACTGATTTAGTCTACAGGTTAGCAAGACCCCTGGAAGATTTGGGTCCACAGTAAAGATTGTGAAGTTGTGGTTTCTTTGTTTTTGGAAAGATTTATTTATTTATTTATTTATTTATTTATTTGAAAGTTATATATAGAGGAGAGACAGAGAGGTTTTCTTTTTTTTTTTTTTTTCAAGTCACCTTTAAAAAAAAAAAAAGATTTATTTATTTATTTGAAAAAGCTACACAGAGAGGAGAGGCAGAGAGAGAGGCCTTCCATCCAATGGTTCACTCCCCAATTGGCCGCAACAGCCTGAGCTGCGCTGATCCGGAGCCAGGAGTTTCTTCCAGGTCTCCCACACAGGTGCAGGGGCCCAAGCACTTGGGCCATCTTCTACTGCTTTCCCAGGCCATAGCAGAGAGCTGGATCAGAAGTGGAGCAGCTGGGTCTCAAACCAGCACCCATATAGGTTGCTGGCGCTTCAGGCCAGGGCATTAACCCGCTGTGACACAGCACCAGCCCAAAGAGGTTTTCCATCTGCTAGTTCACTCCCCAGATGGCTGCAAAGGCCAGGCTGAAGCCAGGAGCTTCTTCCGGGTCTCCCACATGGGTGCAGGGGCCCAAGGACTTGAGCCGTCTTCCACTGCCTTCCCATTAGCAGGGAGCTGGATTGGAAGTGAAGTAGCCGAGGTTCAAGCCAGTACCTGTGCCACAATGCTGGCCCCTGTGAAGCAGTGTTCTTAGACACCACTGGTGTCATTTGTAGAAGCCAGTACCAGAGGCTGTCTGGTGTGATAGTGAAAATTATTTGTAGCTTTATGTATTTTTTTAATTTTTTAATTTGTTTGAGAGGTGCAGAGGCAGACAATGAGAACTGTCATCAGCGGGTTCAGTCCCCAAGCTGGGGCCACAGCTGTTGTGAATGCTCTCCTGGTCTCCCACATGGGTGGCAGGAATCACTTACTTGAGCCATCATCACTGTCTCTAAGGCTCTACATTGACAGGAAGCTGGAGTCAGAAGCCAGAAGCAGGAATTGAACCCAAGTACTCCACTCTGGGCTGCAGTATCTTAACCACTAGGCTAAATGCCCATTCCTGCTTTATGCAGTCATCTCTCTGTGTGTTCCGTATTTCCACCTTAGCAAGGATTTGAGCCAGTTGCCATTCAACTGTTAAAAGATATCCATAGGGAAAGCAACTCAGAGGGTTAAAAAATAAGAAAAAAACAAGTGGAATGCAATGCAGGGTGAATAAGTTCCAGAGATCTATTGTACAGCTTGGTGGCTATAATTAATAATACATATCGTGTACATTTGTGTACCACATAATCACATTTCAGTCAACAAGGACCACATATAGAGTGTTGTTCCCATAAGATTCTATCTCCTGAGGCCAGCACTGTGGCTCACTTGGTTAATCCTCCATCTGCGGTGCTGGCATCCCATATGGGCACCGGGTTCTAGTCCTGGTTGCTCCTCTTCCAGTCCAGCTCTCTGGTGTGGCCCAGGAGGGCAGTGGAGGATGGCCCAAGTGCTTGGGCCCCTGCACCCACATGGGAGACCAGGAGGAAGCGCCTGGCTCCTGGCTTAGGATCTGCTCAGCACACCGGCTGTAGCGGCCATATGGGGGGTGAACCAACGGAAGGAAGACCTTTCTCTCTGTCTCTCTCTCTCTCTCACTGTCTATAACTCTACCTGTCAAATTAAAAAAAAAAAAAAAATACTCTATCTCCCAGTGACGCCGTGACTGTCTTAGCTTGTGTCAGTACATACTGTACTGTTTGCAGTAGTGAGATTGTTTAATAACATGTTTCTTAGATTGTATCCTGTCGCTAAGCAACATGTGACTGTACTTGAGGATCACTAAGAGAGTTGATCTTCAATTTTCCGACCGTGAAACACTGATCAATATGTGGGATGGTGGGTATATTGATTAGCTTACTGTAATCACTTCAGTGTATTTGTATATCAGTAAATACATACCACTTTTATTTACCAGTGATACCCTAATAAAACTGAGGCAGAGGAGGAAGAGAGGCTGCAGGGCTGAGGCCGTGGTGGGAGGCCCTGGCTGGCTGTAGAGATGGACTGCGAGTTATCTCTGCGCCCCTAGAAGGCGAGGAGCGGTGAGACCTGATCAGGCTCAGAGTTAGGAACCTCTGATCTGAAAAACTTGTGGAAGGAGGCAGCAGTGTGGAGCTAAGGAGCCCCCAAGTGAGAGGTGAATCTCGCCCCTGGTGAGCACCACACTGCACTGGACAGCATCATTCTTCACGACCTTGCTTCTGCCCCAGGGTCAGAGGCCAGCATGCAGGAAAGCCATTGGTTCTAACAGCAGGTTCTGGCAATCTGCTTCCAGCCTGTGGTACCAACCCAACTTTTTAATTCTATATACTTATTTTCATTTCATTTGAAAGAGAGATTTTCAATTTGCTGGTTCACTCTCCCAAGTGCCTCCAATAGCCAGAGCTAGGCCAGGCTGTAGCCAGGAGCCTGGAACTCCACCCAGGTCTTCCATGTGGGTACAAGGGACTCAAATACTCAAGCCGTCACCTGCTGCCTCCCAGGGTGCACATCAGCAGGAAGGGGGAATCAGGAGCACAGCCAGGACTAGAACCCAGGCACTCCAATATAGGATGTAGGTGTCCCAAGTGGCATCTTAGCGACTATGCCAAATGCCTAGCTCCCTATAATCCAGTTTTTTAAATAGATTTAACAGTGAAAGTCAAACCATTTTTTTGGATGAGCTTTATGAATACCAGCCTGCCTCACTGGCCCCTCCCCGGCCAGCTCCATCCCCTGCTGCCTACTGCCTGTGGTGGTGGAAACTACTGGTTAGAACTTGAGGGTAGGCCGGCGCCGTGGCTCACTAGGCTAATCCTCTGCCTTGCGGCGCTGGCACACCAGGTTCTAGTCCCAGTCGGGGCACTGGATTCTGTCCTGGTTGCCCCTCTTCTGGGCCAGCTCTCTGCTGTGGCCAGGGAGTGCAGTGGAGGATGGCCCAAGTGCTTGGTCCCTGCGCCCAAATGGGAGACCAGGAAGAAGCACCTGGCTCCTAGCTTCGGATTGGCGCAGCGCTGGTGGTAGCAGCCATTTGGGGAGTGAACCAACGAAGGAAGATCTTTCTCTCTGTCTCTCTCACTGTAACTCTACCTGTCAAAAAAAAAAAAAAAAAAAAAAGACTTTTGTCCATTTTGTAACTGGGTTTTTTGTTGTTGAGTTTCGTGATCTTTTTATACATTCTAGTTATTAATCCTTTATCAGATGCATAGTTTGCAAATAATTTCTCCCATTCTGTTGCTTGACTCTTCACTTTGCTGAGTGTTTCTTTTGCAGTACAAAAGCATTTCAATTTGATGTAATCCCATTTGTCAATTTTGGCTTTGATTGCCTGTGCCTCTGGGCTGTTTTCCAAAAACTCTTTGCCCATTCCAATGTCTTGTAGGGTTTGCCCAATTTTCCCCAATAATTTGATGGTGTTGGATCATAGATTTAGGTATTTAATCCATGTTGAGTGGATTTTTGTGTAAGGTATAAGGTACGGATCTTGCTTCATACTTCTGCACATGGAGATCCAGTTTTCCCAGCACCAATTGTTGAAGAGACTCATTGCTCCAGGGATTGATTTTAGCTCCTTTGTCAAAGATAAGTTGGTTGTAGATGTATGGATTGCTTTCTGGCATTTCTATTCCGTTCCATTGGTCTATCCATCTGTTTTTATACTAGTACCAGGCTGTTTTGATTATAACTGTCCTGTAGTATGTCTTGGAA